CTTAGAATTCTATTTACACACCAAACTGAATTTGTTAAAAACTCATTAAAATTTTAAAAATTTGAAAAAAAACAGCATAAAAAATCTGAATATTCAACAAGAAAAATGGATATAGAAAAAAACAGAGTTGGGAAATACAGCATATTCTTCTAAAAAACAAAAGAAAAATCGTAGGATGTACTTTAAGATCTCCAGATACCTCTTGGAAATCCTCTTTAAGCCAAGTAACAAGTGGTGCTGGCCTCCCAGACACTGTGCAGCGTAGAATAAAAATCTTCTCCTTCCTGGAGACAGGCAGCTCCAATATTTTATAGGCATGTTGGAATTTTGCCTTGTACTAAGAGGCAGATTATATTTGAAATTTCCACTATAAGTCACACATATGCAATATTTTTAAATATGTTCATTTTCAGATGTTTGTAAAGAAATAAATTTTTTATTAAAATCTCTCCATCCCTCAATATGTAGCCAACAATCATTAATTTCCCTGCATCAGAAAAACATCTATAAGGGTGATTTTATATCAAGACCCCTGACTGTAGTCATCTCGTCAAAGTCTACGTTCTTCACATATGAAGGAGAAAGAAGGATCCAACAGGAACAGGACCTTGATCTTTTTTTTTAAGATTATTTATTTATTTATTCGAGAGGTAGAGTTATGGACAATGAGAGGGAGAGATACAGAGAAAGGTCTTCCATCCACTGGTTCACTCCCCAAATGGCCCGCTACAGCCAGAGCTGCGCCGATCCGAAGCCAGGAGCCAGGAGCTTCCTCTGGGTCTCCCAGGTGGGTGCAGGGGCCCAAGGACTTGGGCCATCTTCCACTGCTTTCCCAAGCCATAGCAGAGAGCTGAATTGGAAGAGGAGCAGCCGGGACTAGAACTGGCATATGGGATGCTGGCACCGCAGGTGGTGGATTAACCCACCGTGCCACAGCGCCAACCCCAGGACCTTGTTCTTAAGCTATCAAAATACTTTTCTCTACTGAGGATCTAGTCAGGATTTCCAGGGTGAAAAAGTTGCACTCGTGGACATTACACTATTGACATAGAACCTAACAGCAGTAAGAGCATGGACATTTAGAATGATGTCTGCAGCCATCGCTTGCAAATGTATTTAGGGGCCTCTTTGCCAAAAAATGATATTCCCCCATGATTATTTTCTCTCATATTCCAGGAGAATGGAGAATTCAATCTGATAGATTTCATAGGCTTTTTTCTGCTGCACTTCACTGAATACCATCATTTTAAAAAGTCCTTACTGAGGTGTGGTATCTAGGAATTTGGTTCTTATAACTAATTTGTTCAACTAAACTAGTGATTTACCGAGGGTAGTGGTAACTCATTTAAGAAGAAAGGTAAAAATGCTATAAGAAAAAGGGCAAGTAATGAAGAGACAGTGACATTGCTGGATGTTATTTTCTAAATTTTGATGAACAAAACACCAGGATTTGACCCTAGCCAAACCTGTACAAACTCACATCCTTAAAGCAGTGGTTGAGTTTTTTGCTAGGGGGCATTTGGAAATATACGGGGAAATTTCAGGTTGTTACAAATGAAGATGGAGACACTAATGGCATTCAGTGGGTAGAGGCCTTGGCTGCTACTAAACCCCCTATAACTCACAGAACAGCCTCACAACATAGTCATCTGGTCCCAGATGCCAACAGCACTGAGGTGGGCAAACTTAGAAAAATATGCCATGATGACCTAGTAGACTATCTAAAAACGCCAAGTGTCCAGTCAAATCTCAAACTCCCTCTACCAGATCAATAACAGAAAAAAGCGGAGAATTCATTAGCACAGTTCTTTAAGAACACACTGAATCAAAGCTATCGTTTCCCACCCTTCTGCCAATGGGCCTCTGCACATAGCTCCCTTGTGAGTGCCTGTTTTAGGCATGCTGCAGAGGCCATGGACTGGACCTGTTCCTTATGCCTTATAACCAGCACCTGGCAGCCTGAGATGTCAGCATACTTTGGGGTTTAATCTGTGCCCATCAAACATCAACCTCATTATCTCAGAATCCCAATAAATGTATGTTTTGGAAAACTTCAAACAATCAGCAACCAAAAAAAAAAAAAAAAAAAAAAAAAAAAGAAAGAAAGAAAGAAAGAAAGAAAGGAAAATATGCCATGAATACCAAATTTTCCTCCCCTTTAAATAACTTCATTAAGTATATAGGTATCCTACAGAACACTGACCTTAAAAGCAAAATACAGTTTTCATGTAATATATTACTTTTAGAAAGGCATTCTACCATGTGGAAGGACCTAAGTAGAGAACATTTATTGCATACATTTAATCATCATCATTCACCAAGCAATGTAAACCAATGCCGCTCTGCCTGCTCATCTGCCAAGGACAGGACATCACCGGCAGCTCGTGCTCTGTTTCTGGCAGCTGATAGAGACGTAGTTCTGTCTTAAATATAGCTGCCAATCTGCCCTCTGGCTCACGTCGAACACTGGTGGTTCTGAAAGCTGGAGCCACTATTTTCACTCTCCCTATTGGGCCCTCACTTGTGCAACTTTGTTTCTGCTCCTCCTTTCCCCGGGTTGGGCCACACTGGTGGAGAATGTGTGCGGCGATGCATTTTTTAAGGTTGGGGCTGGGTTTGTAATTATGCAGTTAAGATTCTAATAATTCCACTTTCAGGATGGTCTTGACTCTGGAAACCACAATTTATCATTTCACAAGGTCAGATTTTCCTTTTTGATACGTATTTTTAATTTTTTTAACTTTTATTTAATGAATATAAATTTCCAAAGTACAGCTTATGGATTACAGTGGCTCCCCCCCCCCCATAACTTCCCTCCCACCCGCAACCCTCCCCTTTCTCGTTCCTTCTCCCCTTCCATTAAGATCGAGATTCATTTTCATTACTCTTATATACAGAAGATCAGTTTAGTATATTTTAAGTAAAGATTTCAACAGTTTGCACTCACATAGAAACACAAAGTGAAAAATACTGTTTGAGTACTAGTTATAGCATTAAATCACAGTGTATGGCACATTAAGGACAGAGATCCTACATGAGGAGTAAGTGCACAGTGACTCCTGTTGCTGACTTAACAAATTGACACTCTTGTTTATGGCATCAGTAATCTTCCTGGGCTCCAGTCATGAGTTGCCAAGGCTAAGGAAGCCTTTTGAGTTCACCGACTCTTATCACGTTTAGACAAGGTCATAGTCAAAGTGGAAGTTCTCTCCTCCCTTCAGAGAAAGGTACCTCCTTCTTTGATGGTCTGTTCTTTCCACTAGGATCTCACTCACAGAGATCTTTGATTTAGGTTTTTTTTTTTTTTTTTTTTTTTTTTTTGCCAGAGTTCTTGGCTTTCCATGCCTGAAATACTCTCATGGGCTTTTCAGCCAGATCAGAATGCCTTTAGGGCTGATTCTAAACACTTTTTTAAAAGAGTTATTTATTTATTTGAAAGACAGAGTTACAGAGAAGCAGAGGCAGAGAGAGAGATGTCTTCCATTCTTCTGGTTCACTCCTTAAACAGCTCAAACAGAAAGAGATGGGCCAATCTGAAACAAGGAGCCAGGAGCTAGGAGCTTCCTCTGGGTCCCCTACATGGGTGTAGGGGCCAAGGACTTGGGCCATCTTCTACTGCTTTCCCAGGCCACAGCAGAGAGCTGAATGGGAAGTGGAGCCCATATGGGATGCTGGCTCTGCAGGTGGCGGTTTTACCCACTAAGCCACAGGGCTGGCCCCAAATAAAACATTTTCATGATACTAAGTACTATCTACACCCAGCAAAGAAAATCGTTCTCTTATCTGCCATATGCTGCCTAAGAAAACTTATTCTAAAACTTGTCTGGTCTTTTGATCACTGGGCCCATACCAGGTCCCTAGAAATACCTGTATGCTTCAACAAGAGAACCAAGGATGCACTGTGTATTTAATACCACTTAGAGATCAGCAAGAGTTAGAGATGGTGTAATCTGCACCACCATTCACAGGCAAGGAATGTGAGGGTTGGACGTTTCAGTTACCTGAGTCGTCTAAGACCTTGTGGCAGATCTGGAATTAGAATGGTGGTTTTTGGAACAGTAATATTTTAAAAGGAGTAATACAAAATAGTCAATTCGTTTAAAACAGGTGCTCATTTCTATATGAATACAAGAGTGAAAAATGGGCTCTTATATGATTTTATAAAATCAGTGATCCGCTATCAGAATGGACATAATTTAAGGGTTTTAACTGACCATGTAAAATGGCACGTGACCATCTCAACAAAAAGCCTTTTCACTCATTTTAAAAAAGATTCCAATGCCATTAGGGCTCTCAAAGAAATATTAGTACAGGGGCTGTTTTATCTCATATGCTTTATCTCTACATGGCAATTCTATATCAGACATGGAAAGGCACATCTACCATTGGAAAATTAAAAGTGAACCTTAGTGATATTCAGCCAATGTCATGTAATTTAAATATTAATTATATTCAGGCTTCAAACATTTTTGTTAAAGTTGTTGAAATAGCCATTTCAATTTTGCACTGGGAATGGAACCTGTTTGAACTAACCTACAGTTTCATGTTTGTAGATAAAGCAACATGTTTCTATTTTGTGTCTATAAATGGAGAAGGGATAGAGCACAATGAGAAGCTGGGACAATTGCCTCATATGATTATTGTCCTGTCATAAAGTAGACCAGCATTCTCTAAAAGAATGCTTACTGGGAGCATGGCCCCTATCAAACATTAACCATCATGATGCACTTTCTTCAGTTGGAGCAATTGTGTTTACTAAAGGCATTTATGAGTCAATGTTCATATGAAAAAGCATCTCCCATCTGATAAAGGCTGAATGAGATAATCAGACTAAATTTATTACCTTTTTGAGAATTTAAATTATATTTTAAAGAAATCCTAGTAAAGCTGAGAAACAGGAGAGTAAATTCTATTGATTCCAGATATTTAACAAAATAATATGCATTCCATTATCAACATATAAGCCATGAGCTATAAAAAAGAAATGAACACACAAAACATTTGTTCTTTCATATTTTATTTAATAACCTTTAGAAATGAGCTAGAAAAAAACTTAAAGGATCTAGATTCCATACATTTTATGGGAAACTCAAACATAATTGCCAATGGATTAAAATAGAACCCTCCCCCAAAGCCAGTTTCTTCTCAAACAAGATTTACAACATTGTTATTCACTTAAAACAAAAGTAACCTTTAAGTTCTATTCAGAAATAACCTTTTTGGGTGGTCAGAGATGAGGAATTTCAATGAATTTATATTTGGAGTTGATATATGTATAAACATATTTTAATAGTATTCCCCTCTTCTAACAGCTGTCTGAAAACCTTGTTTGAAATATACTGATTTCTAGTTATCCATTCTATAAACTGGTGTGGTGCTTAGTATTTTATCTGTAGCATGCATAAAAATAGCTCGCCATCATTCAAATAAATGAAGCCAGTTTCTTAACTCTTGACCATCAGTGGTTTATGGTATTTGTGCCATGACATGATATGTTTTTCCTAAATTGACTTGCACATACATCACCTGGGCATTTTACATATTGCTGAACTCATACAGATAAGAACACATACTGAGAAATATCTGTAGGTAAACACAAGCACACACTTGAAATGTCTTTTATTCATTAACAATGATGCAAATGACATGTTAATACATGCTGTGACACTGTGATTAAACCAGCCAATCACAGTTTCTTAGACTTGAAGAACCCCTACGGACTGTTTTAATTCTGAGGTTCTCTGTGAGGTGGTCCAGTAACTGAGGTTCTGCCTATGGCAGGTTAGGGTCAGAGCACAGAGGAATGAGAATCATTTGCCAAGAAACAGTCACCACCGAGCACCAGCCCTGGGCCTGCCTGTGCTGCTGACCTGTACACAGAGTTTGTGGAGCCAGATCATTCTTTGCAGTCCATTTTTTTAAAAAAGATTTTATTTATTTATTTGAAAGGCAGAGTTAGAGAGAGGCAGAGGCAGAGGTCTTCCGTCAGCTGGTTCACTCCCCAGTTGGCCGCAATGGCCAGAGCTGCCCATCCAAAGCCAGGATCCAGGAACTTCTTCTGGGTCTCTCACGTGGGTGCAGTGGCCCAAGTACTTGGGCCATCTTCCACTGCTTTCCCAGGCCATAGCAGAGAGCTGGATTAGAAGTGGAGCAGCTGGGACTAGAACTGGCTCCCATATGGGATGCCAGCACTGCAGGCAGCAGCTTTACCCACTACACTACAGTGCCAGCCCCTGAGGTCCATTTTTAATTGCAATAGTAAATCAGCATTTGTGCAATTATGTAATGTACTGCCATGGGTTTGAAGCAAACCTTGAAGGAGTATTGTATTGGCATATGCATTTACAAGTCCTGGATGGCATGTTTTCTCTACAGTTCACACAATTAAAAAGCCTTTGATAAGATACAATACTTGATTTTTTGTGTGCTATATCAGTTAATTTTCTTTTAAGTGATAAAGTACAGATTCTACTTTAGACCCAGGACATGTGAGATCAAAAATTACCTCCAAAAAACAAGTTTAATGGATAGAAATAAAATACTTCTATTTAACATTCAGATAATACAAAACAGTTCACTGAGAAGTCTCCAGTTAGCTGTTAAGTGTCAAACTGTCCATTTGTAGTTTGTCTTTTAATGAACAGATCAAGGCATGAGTTTATGAAACATTACTTTTTCAAGTTTGGTAAAAATAGTTGGCATATTTTAGCTTATGCTCCTAACAAGAATTCTTAGAAATGATGCTAGCAGCCTGAGCCAATCCTTGCTATAGGAAAGTATAATTCATGGGACCCTTATTCATTGTTATACTCCAGCAGATAACCAACCACTAAATCAGCTACTCTAGGATGTGGCTTAAGAGACCAAAAGGACTTCTTTTATTTTTATCATGTTGCTGTTGGAGGAAGTGTAGCTCTGCAAAGCTATAATTCCTTTCTAATTTTTCTCTCTTGGTTTGTTGATAATGACAATGGCCAGTGAATGATCAAATCTGATTTATGCTCCACATCAAGTGTTTCTCTGCTCTAATGAGGATTGTCCCTTTTAGATAATTTCTCTCTCAAACCACCCACAAATAACACTGAAAGCAGCAAGAAAAAGCAAGTATGAGATACTGCAACTAGATTTTAAGTACCCTTAGCATCTGTAATCAATTTATGGAAAGGGGACAATTTCAGATTGCCTACCTATGCCATGGTCTCAGGAGACCCCTGGTAAACATTGATTCATTTACTGACAGCTCTGACTTTGGCCTTTCTCCTGCATGGACTTGTTGCAAGTCTTGTGCTTTTGGTTGATCTTGCTATACTCAGTAATCTAAGGTTTTGGTAGATGTTTTAGACTTTTCTCATAGAAAATCATAGAATCTGTGAATTAGCTAGCTTTATTTCTCCTTTTCCTGTCTTCATAGCTTTTGTTTCTGTTTCTTGTAACAGTCACTAGCCAGGGCATCCAGTATAATGTTGACTAGGGGAGAGACTTCCATTTGTCACCATTAAAGGTGATGCTAATCACATTTGGTTTTGGTAGATGTTCTTCATCAAGCTGGACAAGTTTTTTGTTACTAGTTTTGTGAGGGTCTTTGATAAGGTATCATGAACACGTTAGATTTTGCCAAATGTTGTTCCTGCATCAACTGATTTTCTTCTTTTGCTTACATATAGTAGATTCATTGATTGACTTTGAATTTGAAACAAATCTTATTCATCAAGACCAAGCCCCACTTTGTGGGCTAATTCCTTTTATTCATTTTGGATTTAATTTACCAGTATTGAGGACTTTTGTGTATATATTCAAGAGAGATATTGGGCCACAGTTGTCAGTTTTTGTGATATCTTTATCTGGCTTTAGTCTAAGGGAATTGTGTCCTCCTAGAATGAGTTAACAAGAGTTCTCCTTGCTCTTGTTTCCTGGGAGAGGTCGTGGAGACTTGATATTATTTTTTTCTTAAACATTTGGTAGATTTATCAGTAAACAATATTTTTTCTGGAAGGTCATTAATTATTGATTCAACTTCTCTAATAGAAACAGAGTCACTCAGGTTGTCTACTTCTGCTGGTGTTACTTTTGGAAGTTTGTGGCATTCAAGGACTCGATCAATCTATTTTGGTTATCAAATTTTGAGTGCAGAGTTGTTCATAGCATCCCTTATTTTTCTGAATGCCTTATTTTTAACATGTTATAACTGTACCTATTTATAGGGTACTATGTGATTATTTTACTGTGCATATGTTTAATTATCTCAGCTCTCAGGGAGCTTAGCACACACATGTCCTGAATCTGTAGTAAATTCATCCAGAATGAAGACAAACCCAAAGTGAACACTCCATGTCCTCATCCTGTTGTTTGGTCACTTTCTCTCTTCCTGCTACATTTCCCCAAGCACAATCCTAAGTGGAACACAGTGTACAGTCTTTCAGGTTCTCACACGTGCCACTCTCTCAACAGAAAGCTTCATTTCTATATGGAGGAAAAATTCACATTTAATCTGATAGACAAAGCCAGAATGAGATCAGAAATTCCATTACTCTTTTAATAGCAATAGAAATGAATGAATGCATTTTGAAGGACACTTGGAGCTGCAGTACTTGAATCAAAGGTACTCCTCTCCAGGTAGCAGCATTAGAGAAAACCCTTTGTAGCAGGTAGGCATTTTGGTCTTTTTTTTCTTAAATTTTATTTATTTATTTGAATAGCAGAGTTAGAGAGGACACACACACACAGATCTTCCATCTGCTACTTCATTCCCCAAATAGCCAGAGTGGCCAGAGCTGGGCCACGCTGAAGCCAGGAATTTCATCCAGGTTGCCCATGTAGGTGCCGGGGCTGAAGCCTTTGGGCCACCCGCCACTGCTTTCCCAGGTTTATTAGCAGGGAGTTGGATCGGAAGTGGAGCAGGCAGGACTCAAATCTGCACCCATATAGGATGTCGATGTTGAAGTCTGTGGCCTAACCCACTACGACACAATGGCAGCCACTGCCTTTTAGTTTTTTTGATTCTGCCAGGCAAGTGGATTCCTACTTTGTATTTCCAGCTGGCCTTGTTTCTCAACAGCTTATTTGTATATGGGTGTACATAAACTTATTACTGATTTGCAGCTTAGGTGAGAGCGGCCCAGAATCGTTACAATAATATGTGTTTTAGAGTATCCGTCATGGACAAAGTATGCTCATAAAATATTTCACTTTCAAAAGGCTTCATTATTTGACTTTTGACACGAATAAGTCAAAAAGAGCATTTTGTAATTGTTCAGATCAATAAAGTGTTTGGAAAAAGAACTGTCAAATCATAAAGATTATTTCATTTTATCACCTAGCTCTAGAGCTGTTATTTTGCAAGTACTGATGTTTAAGTGGGTTATAATGAGAAAACAGGCATAGCAGAGCCATCTGAGTACAGATTGAAAACCTTAGATTTTGTAATTATTATTGTTTTGGTGTAAAGAAAAGATCAGGTTTGTTCCTCGTTTTCCTGCCACCTGTATGTTTAAAATTCAGTTTTTTAAAATTTATTTATTTAAAAGGCTGAGTTTACAGAAAGGAAGAGAGAGAGAGAGGTGGAGGCAGAGAGAGGTCTTCCATCCACTGGTTCACTTCCCAAATGACTAGAACGGCCAGAGCTGGGCCAATCAGAAGCCAGGATCCAGGAGCTTCTTCTGGGTCTCTCATGTGGGTGCAGGGGCCCAAGAACTTGGGCCATCCTCCATTGCCCTCCGGGGCCATAGCAGAGAGCTGGATTGGAAGTAGAGCAGCTGGGACTCAAACCGGTGCCCATATGGGATGCCAGTGCTGCAGGTGGCAGATTTATCTGCTATATCACAGCACCACCCCCTAAAATTCATTTTAACCAGAAAGACATGCACATAGACATTTTTGTGTATATAATTTTCACTATTCTCTTGGCCTAAAGGAGGTTAGAGTATTTAATTTTATGCTACAAAAAGGAGACTCCAAGGAAACAGACTGACCATGTCCTGGCTTATATGGATGAAACCGCTACTGAACAGAAGGCAAACCAGACTGACCAAATATGCAAACCCTAACATCGAAGACTTGTTCATTGGGAAGAGTGTCATACATGCAAGCTTCTCCACCCATGCTTGGGCAGCTCCCAAATTCATACTAACTTCCACCAACCAAACAACAGTAGTGTGGACATTATGGAAAAAGGCCAAATTAGCAGCTCTGTGCTTTCTGTTTTGAGGTTGAAACCACGCACAGCTGATGGCATTCAAATCTCATCTCCTGTGATGAGAGCGGAGAAAATGAATTGTTACTGCTTTAAGCAGGACACTCTTTCATTTTGTGAATGCAAATCTTTTGGCTTTCTGATGCAACTCAAGATTCTGCTTATCACAAATGGAAAACAGTCTGTCACGGTTTGGTATTTGCATTGACACACACAATATCAGAGGAGATATTTTATTTTGTTTCAGCTAACTTACTTCATGGCCACACTTAAAATACTCTATGTGCAACAGGACTGTCAAAATCTGCAGATGATAAGTTCTGGTGAAGACTGGTCATGAATAAAGACAAACACAAAATGGGACAAGATGTGATATATTTTCCTTCTGTCATTTGGACTTCAAAATACCCTAAGTTTTAGAATTTGGCTTTTTAAATGTTTACAAGCATATATGAAATGCTGATTTCGAGTAATATCTGTTTGCAACGCGACCACTGAGCCCAGCTATAATTAAATATCAATAATTTATGTAGTGTTCTAAAGAAGAACATCAATTCTGGTTTTGACAGATTGGGTTTAGTCTTTGAAAGTGGAGGCACCCACTTCCCCAGTGACACCAAGTGATGGTTCATGCCTGAACATGATGGCTTTAAAATGCTGGAATGGTAAACCTGGACCCCTTCTCTTTCCTCCTCACTATGATCTGCACCCCAGGAGCCAGCATCTATTTTTTTAAAAAAGATTTATGTTTATTTGGAAGTCAGAGTTACACAGAGAGAGGAGAGGCAGAGAGAGAGAGAGAGGTCTTCCATCCAATGGTTCACTCCCCAATTGGCTGCAATGGCTAGAGCTGCACCGATCCAAAGCCAGGAGCCAGAAGCTTCTTCTGGGTCTCCCACATGAGTGCAGGGGCCCAAAGACTTGGGCCATCTTCTACTGCTTTCCCAGGCCATAGCATGGAGCTAGATCAAAAGTGGAGCAGCTGGGTCTCGAACCAGCGCCCATATGGGATGCCGGCACTTCAGGTCAGGGCGTTAACCCACTGCGCCACAGCACCGGCCCCTGTATCTATTTTTAAATCTGAATTTTCCACCAGGGTCTAATAGAGGAGGTCTGGAAGTTTCTCAGGTAAGTTTGGTAGCTCCTGGGTGAGAGTGTTTCACACAGGCATCATGGGTAGAGTCTGATTCCTGTTGGCTCATGTCATTAAGGAGTAAGAATGACCTTCATCATTTCACATTTTCCCTCTCCTACCCCTAAACTGAGAATAAAAATCAGTTAGGTTTATCTTTGTTTGCCTCTGAAAAAAAAAAAAAAAAAAACCTTACTGAGTGTGACTATGTCCCAGACTCGGGAAATGTGATGATGACAAACAGGGCTGTCAGGCTGCTGTTGCTAACATTCTCAGAGCCTAGCCAGAGACAGATGCTCAAACACATGATTCCAGTTCTGTAAATTAAGATGTGACACCTGAGTGCACATGCATACAGCAGGAGCACCTGCATTGGACTTAATGGGTCAGAAAACTGCTGGGGAGAAGCTGTGTCTCCAATGGGCGGGGAAGATAAGCAGGAGTTAAGCCACAGGAAGTCAGAGTGAGCTACAGAAAGGCAGATACAGGGAAAGAGGGCTGCAGAGGACAGAGCATGATGGGTTAGCAACCTCTAGTTAAACGCCACTTTTCCAGGGGTGGTGGGTAGGAGGAGCCTTGTGCACCGCCTGAGAGATCTGAAGCCCGAGTGAAGTGGTTAGAAGTTTCTTGCAGTAACCTGTTTTAAGTTTGTGGTTTGAATCTTCAGTGATGATTACCATTTTTGAATAAACTAGCTCATTTTTTTCTGCTTGATTTTCAGATATTTTAGATATTTTAGAATATTCAGTGACTCCAATGTAAGGATTCTTTTGGTAAAATCTTCCTGGAATTGAATGTGGAAAACTTACTAAATGTTTACACATCCTTTAATTGAAAAATCAGAACTGGAAAACCCAGTGGTTTTGCCTTACTGGAAGTTCAAAACATGTTTTTGGTGTTTTGTCTTTATATTCCTTCAAAGTAATAAATATGTATTATATATAATTTTGAAAGTATTTATTTAAGAGGCAGAGAGAGAGAGAAGGAGAGAGAGAGAGAAACAGAGACAGATAATACTTCCCATCCACTGATGTACTCCTAAATGCATGCAAAAGTTGGGGCTGGGCTAAAACCAGGAGCTGGGAACTTAATCTGGGTCTCTCATGTGGGTGAAGTGACTCAAGTACTTGAGCCATCACCTGGCGCCTCCCAGTTTGTACATTAGTAGGAAGTCAGAATTGAGAGTGGAGGTAGGACTCAAATCCAGACACTCAGATACAGGATGTGGGCATTGCAAGTGGCATCTTCACTGTTAGGCCAAATACTCATCCTGCATATGTAATTTTTTTTTTTTTTTTTGACAAGCAGAGTGGACAGTGAAAGAGAGATACAGAGAGAAAGGTCTTCCTTTGCCATTGGTTCACCCTCCAATGGCCGCCACGGCCGGCGCACCACGCTGATCTGAAGCCAGGAGCCAGGTGCTTCTCCTGGTCTCCCATGGGGTGCAGGGCCCAAGCACTTGGGCCATCCTCCACTGCACTCCCGGGCCACAGCAGAGAGCTGGACTGGAAGAGGAGTGACCAGGACAGAATCCGGCGCCCCGATCAGGACTAGAACCCGGTGTGCTGGCGCTGCAGGCAGAGGATTAGCCTATTGAGCCGCGGCACTGGCCCTCATATGTAATTCTTAATGTTTCTTCCATTTCAATTTCCTTGTTCAAGATTTTTAGGGGTGAGCATTTGGCACAGCGGTTAAGACGCTGCTTGGCACACCTGCACCCCATATCAGAGCGTCTGGGTTTGGGTTCTAGCTCCATGCTGATTCCAGCTTCCTGCTAATGCACACTTTGGGAGGCAGCAGGGGGTTGTTCAAGTACTTGAGTCCCTGCCCCTCATGGTGGAACCTGGATTGAGTGCCTGATTCACTATTTCAGTCTAGCCCAGCTCTGGCCGTTTCAGACATTTGGTGGCTGTATCAGTGGACATGAGCTCACTCACTTTCTGTCTCTTGCCTTTGAAATAAACTACATTAATAAACATTTTAAAAGAAGTTTTTAAATTTACTATCTAGAATTTCCTCTAAAGGTAAATGGATATAAATCATGTATATACCTTAAAATAGAAACATCATTTGAATGACTAGGTTTTACATTTTCAACTAATAACTTCAGTTCATACTTTTGTTTCTAATTGTTTATTTGGAAAATGAGTTCAGAGTTTCATAAAAAAAATTCTTTTATCAAGCCAGAAATCCTGGGTTGGGCACTTGGTACAGCATTTAAGAAACCACCTAGGGGGCTGGCTCCATGGCCCAGTGGGTAAAGCTGTCGCCTGCAGTAACAGCATCCCATATGGGTGCCGGTTCAAGTCATGGCTGTTTTTTTTTTTTTTTTTTTTTTTTTTACCGTGAAGCATCTTTTATTTAGTCATTTTTGTTTACAACTGGAATTCTGGGAACTCAAAATTAACATCCTTGCCTATGAGCTTCTTATACACACCAGAGAAAGTTTCCACCTTGTGCTCCACGTTATTCTGCTGTGCTTTGTCCAGATGGACCTTTATGAGCCGGCTGCCATCCAGTTTCACACGGATTCTCTTGCCCACAATTTCACTTGGGAAGACTAAGTCCTCAAGGATCGCATCGTGCACGGCTGTCAGAGTGCGGCTCCTAGGGCGCTTCTGCTTATTTTTCGTGCGGCTTTTTTGAGTTGGCTTAGGCAGAATCCTCCTCTGAGCAATAAAGACAACGTGCTTCCCACTAAACTTTTTCTCCAGCTCACGAACTAGCCGGACTTGAATTTTCTGGAAGGATTTTGGTTGAGGAACGGGAACAAAGATGATGATAGCTTTCCGGCCACCACCAACTTCGATTTCCTTGGCAGCCGTGATGTTCAGCTCCCTTAGTTGAGCCTTGAGGTCCGAGTTCATCTCCAGCTCCAGGAGCGCCTGGGAGATCCCCGACTCGAACTCATCCGGCTTTTCGCCGTTGGGCTTCACGATCTTGGCGCTCGAGCTGAACGTGGCTTCTCCTGCTCCACTTCTAATCCAGCTCTTTGCTATGGCCTGGGAAAGCAGTAAAGGTGGCCCAGGTCCTTTGGCCCCTGCATCAGCATGGGAGACCCAGAAGAAGCTCCTGGTTTCTGGCTTCAGATTGGCTGGGGAGTGAACCAGCAGATGGAAGACCTCTCTCCCTCTCTCTGCCTCTACTTCTGTCTAATTCCACCTTTCAAATAAATAAACAAATAAAAAAAAAGAAGAAACCACCTGGGATGCCCCTCATCGCACATCAGCGTGCTTGAGTTCTAGTTCTGAAAAATCACACTTACATGTCTGACATTAGAATACAATCAAAATAAGAACTGAATATCTTATTATTCTTCATTGCTGTGAGAATTTCCAATCCACTGATAGCCCAGAAGAAGAAGTAGACAAATAAAGAGAAACTCTTTGAACCATATAATGAATTTGAGAATAGTACTTCTTACCCATGTCTGAGCTCTGTATATATTCATATTATACATATTTGTATATTAGGTGACTTCATACCCCGTGTTTTGTCTTATGCCATGGATGCATATATAGCCTACTTTACTTCCCAAAGGATTAACGTTAGCCAGCATGCCACAGGGAAAGCAAACCAGCAATTTTCATGTCAAATCAATCCTACAACATTTATTCAATGAAGCTGACAGATTGTGAAGGGAGATCCCACCAAATGAACATAAAAGAAATTCAAAAGTGAGGAGAGAGAGAATCCCTTACCATGTCCTGCCTGCCTGCCTTAGACATGCAAAGGCTTTACTCTTTAGCTTCAATGTGGGCAACAGCAGCTGGTTACCATACACAAATACTAGAAATTGTCAAAAGAATGGGATGGAAAAGTTAAGAGACTAGGAGTTCCCTAAAACACCATGCATATAAGCTTTTAAAAGGTTTCTGTCAAAATCTGGAAGAAAATTAAGAATTTTAATTTTTAATTAAGTTGAATATGCAGCACATGACAGAATATGACAACTTTTTACTTCACTACAAATTTCACATCTTCAGACATTTAGTAACTTTTAAATACCAACTTGAATATATTACATTTAAATATTTTGACTATTTGTAGACAGCCTTCCAGCAACATAATCAGTTCCTTCTGCTCATCAAAAATCTTTAATGAATTATTCTTTCACAAAGATTTTGCCCTTGTATGACAAGACTATCTTTAAAATCTAAAAAATAAATGTGTCTCTCATTCAAGCTTATTTTCCACAGTAACCAAAAAGGATGATCTTCTTTTCTGAATAATGTATTTCAGAAAGGTGTAGAATTCATTTCAATATTACAGTGATAATTATTTTAAAGAAATAGAACTTTTTATACTATCTTATTACCTACTTCCATGCCTCCCCACCCCTGCTAAAACATATTAAGTGCATTCTCCTGAGTTTAATTCATGTCTTTGAAAAGGATGTAGTCCTTAAGAAATTGAAAGGGAATCTAAGCTTCAATTCATAAAACATCATTTTCTTCCATGGGCATAGTTAGAAATTACATCTTAACAGCACTTCTTTAATAGTCTAAAGAAATAGCATCTGGAAGAGAAAGAGTGGGCAGTAGACCAATGCAATGATAGATGATGTCAAACAATAGACTGACCCTCAGCCTTCAGGGAATGTTTTCTTCTTTCTGGGTCTTGATAAGACATGAAATGAAAACTCTCAGTTGCCCAAGAGGTAGATGATGAACCCATTTTCCATACCACACTGAGGTAATGAGATACCTTGCCACAGATTATAAAAGCAGTCAGCAGCAAAATCAAGGTTAGAAGCAGGGGTGGGTGTTGTGGTACAGCATGTTAAGCTACAACTTGGAGTCCCACATTCCATTTAGAAGTGCTGGTTTGAGCCCTGCCTACTCTGCTTCCAATGCAGCTTCCTGCTAATGCATCATGGGAAGCAGCAGATGATGGCTTGAGTACTTGAGTCCCTGCCACCCACCTGGAAGATCTGGATGGAATTCTGGGCTCCTAGCTTTGGTCTGGCCCAGCCCTGGCATTTGGGAATGAAATAATGTATCAGTCAGTCTTTCTTGGGAAAAAAAAAGGCCAGAATCAGGAAGACCTGCTTGCAGTTGTATATTCATGGCTACCAGAACCACATTGATGGAATGACAGGAGTAACAGTCCATTCCATTTCTCCAGCCTGTGGTCTATCTCACTATATGACATGCAGAGCTGATGGAAGAATGAAAATGCATTAAAGTTGACAGCATGCCTATTTTCCAATTTCAAACCCATGACATCAACATGAAATGACTGTAGTGGCATCCTCAGGTTCAGGAATGTGGTCTATGTAGAAACTACATAAGTTGTATTTCAGTAAATGAGACCAGTACATGAACAAAAGATCAAAGAATAGCTCATGCAATCATGGAAATTACAACTTCAGTCAATATTCCTGTTATTCCCTACAAAGACATGTTTATGAGTATGATTAAAAATATATTATCAAACAATTAGATTTGGAATTTAGCTCACATCTCTGGTGATATGAGCCTTCATCTGGATACTTGTAAATTAGGAGGGAATAAATTTAAAATATGTTATGTCAAAAAGGGTAGAAGGAAGGAGAGTAAGAGGGAGGGAGGAAGGGAGGAGGAGAATATGATTATATTATTAGACTTGTATCTATAAATCATATTGAATCTGTTAAAAATAAATTAAAATGGAAAAGTAAATACATAAATACACGAGGACAAAATAAACAGTCAACATCATATTGAATGGACACATGCTGAAAATATTTCCCCTACAATCTGGAACCAGACAAGGATGTTCCATGTTTCATCTCTCTAATTCAATACAGTCCTTGAGTTTTACCCAGAGCAATAAAGCAAAAGAAAGAAATAAAAGGCACACAAATAGGAAAGGAGGAAGTCAAATTCCACCTCTTTGGAGATGACATTATTCTGTATACAGAAAAATATAGACTCCACAAAAGAGTGTTAGAGTTAAAAAATAAATTCAGCAGAATTGCAGGATACAATATTAACACACAAAAATCAGTTTTTGTGCACCAATAATGAACTCAATGACAAAGATATTATAAGAACAATCTCATTCACAATCACTAAAAAATACTTCAGAATAAATTTCATTAAGGATGTGGAAGGTCTCCACGATGAAAATTGCAAAATACCAATGAAAGAAATTGTAGAACACACACACACACACACACACAAAGATTTTTCATATTCATGGGCTGTGAGATTATTATTATTAAAATAATCATGCTATCCAAAATGACTTAGAGATTAAACGCAATCCCCATGAAAATACCAATAAGCTTATTCACAGGAATAAAAAAAACCTTAATATGGATGCACAAAAGCCCCTGAGTAGCCAAAGCAATCGTGAACTAAAAGAACAAAGATGGAGGCATCACAATACCAGATTTCAAGGCACAGTACAGTCACTGTATGAAAACAATATACTGCTGGTATAAATACAGACACAATGACCAATGGAACACAACAGAGATCCCAGAAATGAATCCAAATTGATCCATTTCTAGACTCAACTCATTCTCAACAAAAGCACCAAAAAATACACTCAAAAAAGGGTACTTTCTTCAATACATGGTGCTGGAAAACTGAATATCCATTTGCAGATGACTGAAGCTAGACCCTCCCTATTGCTCACCCTACAGAGAAGTCAGCTCAAACTAGATCAAAGTCCTAAATGTAAAATCAGAACTAGGAACTACTAGAAGAAAAAAACAGGATAAACATTTTAAGACATTATTACAGGCAACAATTTTTTAATAAGGCCACCAAAAGTATAGGCGACAAAAGCCAAACTAGGTAAATTGGATTGTAGAAAACTTAGAAGCTTCTGCCCAACAAAGGAAATAATAAACAGAGTGAAAAGACAGAATAGAGAAAATATTTGTAAACTATGCATCTGACAAAGGGTTAACATCTAGAATATGTAAGGAATTAAAAAACTCAAGGACAAAAAAATCCAGTGAATAACTGGACAAAGGATCTAAATAGACATTTCACAATAGCCAACAAATACATGCAGAAGAGCTCAATATCACTAGCCACCAGGGAAATGCATATGTATCATTTCACTCCAGTTAGAATGGCTATTATCAAAAAGACAAAAAAAAAAAACCAAAGGCTAGTGAAGATGTGGAGAAAAAGAAACTTTATACATGGTCGGTAGGAATGTAAACTGATACAATCATTATGAAGAATGGTATGGAGGTTCCCCAGAAAACTATAAATAGATTTACCACATTATCTAGCTATCCCACTTCTGAGAATACACTCAAAGAAAATTAAATGAGCATATGAAAAACATAACTGCATTCCCCTGTCCACTGTAGCACAATGTGCAAAAGTCAAGATATGGAATCAACCTAGCTATCTATCAATGGATGAATGAATAAAGAACATGTGGCATGTGTACACACTGGAATTCAGTCATAAAAAAGGAAACCTAGGGCCCACATTGTGGTACAGTGGGTTAAGTCATCACCTGCCATGCAGGCAGCCTGTATGGGAACTGGTTGGAGTCCTTACTACTCCACTTCCAATCAAGCTCCCCGACAAAGTGCCTAAGAAGACAGCAGAAGACAGCCCAAGTAGTTGCAGCCCTGCCACCTATGTGGGAGGCCTGGATGGAGTTCCAGGTTTCTGGCTTTAGACTAGCTCAGCCCCAACTCTGTGGCCATTTGGGGAGTGAGGCAGCAGATGGAAGCTCTCTCTCTCCCCTCTATCTCCTCTCTCCTGTCTGCCTGTCTCTTTCTCTCTCTTATTCTCTCTATAACTCTGCTTTTCAAAAAAATAAATATTTTTTTAAAAAAAGAATGAATGGATGAAATCCTGACATTTGTAGCAAAATGTGTGTGGAACTGGGAGTCATTATGTTCAATGATATAAGCCAAACAAAGACAGACAAATACCGCATGTTCTCTCCCCTATGTGGAGACTTAATAAAACTCATCTGAACCCAGATTAGTGGTTACTGGAGGCTTGGAAGAGTAGGGGGAGTGCTGATGGATGACGGAAAACATGACACAGTTAGAAGTAATAAGAACTGGTGTCCCACATCACCGTGGGTGACTGTAGTTCACAATAATGTATCATATACTGATTAAAGAACTGGAAGAGAGGCCTAGGAGGCTCCAAACACAAGATAAAGACACGGAATGCTAACTGCCTGATTGGATCACTTTATACTTTACACATGTATTGAAATATTGCATGGTAACCTATGACAATGCGCAAGTATTACATGCTAACTAAGATTTTTAAAGATTCAAAATATTTAGAGGCAATAAATAGAACTTTGCGATGTATTATATTGAACACATGTCTTCCTAAGAGTACAAAAAATATTCTTACTCACTATAAGGCTCCTCAAACACATTAAATGCTAGAGAAAATTTGATTATTTTTCCAAGTAGTGGTATTAGCCAAACAAGCAAAATGGCCAGAGTAGAGGTACACTTGTTGTGGGGTGTTTCGTGTAAAAGAACCGTGCTGTCCCTTCAGGTTGCAAGAAAGACGTCCGTTCACGTTAACACCGGAGTTACTGAGTGAGCAGCCAGTATATCAGGGATACACTAAGATAGATAACACCCAGCGTTACCCAGTTAATTCTTGTGATCGGTGGCCTGCAGTTACCTGTCACGTGGAGGATAGCATGCGAGGAGAGAGTTCCACTGGAGTTTTGGGCCCAAGCCACATACAGGCCTGTATCTCCCTTGCATACCTTTGGAATGAACACTGAGTGCCTTGTCTCCTTGCGTACAACCTGCAAGTGCTCATCTGCAGACAATTTCTGGCCCTCCTTGTACCTGAAGCAAAGAGTCAGTTTTTAAAGTCAGAATTATTGCTCATTTACATCGTGTCCAAGTGCTAACAACAACCGCGAACAGGCCCATGACCACTGAAGTTATTCTCTAGCACCAGCAGGCGTTTTGCAGCTAAGCAGATCCCAGTGAGGCTGTTTATCAGTCAGGCAGAGGTGGGCAACTGGTGACAATGGTGATTGGCTTGGCCCATGAATTTAAAAATTGAATTTTTTGACAATGCTTAACAATTGGAATATTGCATATGAAAATTCAGATTCCAGCTCCTCTTCAAAAACAAGACCATCTGGTCACACTGGGCCACCATTTGCTCATGGCAACAATGTGAATGTGAAAAGGCACCCTCATAATTGGCCTGCAACATTCTTCCCGCAGCTATGGAATAGCAGCTGGTGACTCCCTGGAATCTGCATTGGAGGGAGACTCGTCTGCCCCAACAAATTCATGCCCCAAGATCCACGTGATAGTTCAAATGTGCTGTGATGAAGCCAGGTACTTATACACCATGTCCTGGTGAAATAGGCTCATTTGATTGCTGGGCATTAATTTCATTAGAGGGTGAAAAAAGCTTCAAATTATTTTAAGTGTCACTGACATATTTCTAAAGTAGTTGCACCTTTTTATAAGGCAGATAATTTGTTTATTTTGTATATTCTTGACTCTTATTTATTTATACACACACATTTCCATGGCAAGGAAGGTCTCGTGGCAAACACGGACAATTCTCTGTTCTTATTGCCTAAGGGAAAACTTTTTACTTTTCTGAGTGTCTTAGTATGATTCCCTGATAAATTTGTCAATTGTTAATTGAACAAAATTGTTGTGAATCTACAGAGAAATGTTTTCCGCTATGTTACAATGGTTCTTCAACCATGTATATTAACCAAGTTGTTTGTGTAGATAAAAACACTTCAGACAACATTTTCCTTTGAGGTGAATTGATATTTAATAAGGCATTAAATATCTCTTCAATTCATAAATAGGAAATTCCTTGTTTGTAAAAAACATGCAACTGTAAAAAACCACAAAATAAAATGGTGTAACTGCAGTATAGCACATGTGCAGTTTCTTTTATAATTTTAGAAGCCCAATTTTTCTCCTAAGTTGCTTAAGTAACCAATTCATTTTGAGTACCATCAGTGGGCACACACAATAATTGTACTTTATAAGTATTCTGTAAGTTCACTCTCACATGCCTGTAGATTTGTCCCCAAATCAATCTACTTAAATACGAACAATCCTTAAATGTTTCAAAGTAACCCACATATTGAAAAAGTTAGGATTGCTGTTCTTGTTACTACCAGTATGTGATTCCAAATCCGTAATACACAGTTTCCTTTTACCAAAACAAATAGGCTAGAAAATGAATGATGTCTGCAAAATGAAATCATGTTTTTCACAGCTCAGTTATTACACCGCCTTTCAAAAATGGGTTTATTACCTGTCACCTGGAATAACTGTGAAAGAAATATTTTATTCCGCTTCTCGTATTGAAGAAATGTATAAAAAGAAATCTTAGGAAAACAAACAAACATTAACAAAGGTGGCAAGCATGACCGTTCAAAAAGATGGAGAAGGCAAAAGAGGTAAAGGAAAGAAAGGAAAAAACCCAAATTCTTATGCTTAATTGTACACAGGAGGTTAAACCAAGAAATTCCCAGGCTTATGTAGCAAGAGACAATGGGAAAGAATCTCAACCCACTCTTTAGAAATGTGGAATGTTGAACCAAAAGGAAAACAAACACAAACACAACCCATTGTACAGTACTTTTGGAGTCTGTCCAATCATTATTTTATATAGCAATTTTTCCCTTAAGATATTAACCATGCTGCTACTCAAGAGAGTTGGGGGTCTAAGTGAGAACCATGCAGAATGGCAGTGACACAGAATGTTAGTCAGCTAGCCCCAAAGCAGAAGTTAGTGCACACAATGTGATTTTTCTCAGGGGTTCTATGTGCTTCTATTTATGGTTTGTCATTGTAGGCTACCCACCATGTCAGTGTAGGCTCTGGAAATCCTGTCACTTCCACTTCCAAAGTCACTGGAGAACCTTCCACGACAGTTACATTAGACAGGAGCCTGGAGAAGTGCGGAGCCTGGCCAGCTAGGCTGACCACTCTGTTCTTTGCTGATGTGCGTCTAATTTCTTCTCGGGGAACCACTTGCCTCTGACAGCCCTGGCTGGTGCTTGATGGGGAGCTGAGGCTGGAGACGGCGTCAGGCACAGCATGCAGCCGCTCTCGGGGTTTAGTGGCGTTATTATCAGCATGCATCTGCCCCCACGTCTCTAGCAAACTCCCCGGAGCAGGAGGGTGCTGCTGGGAGGCCCCGGCATGCACTGCCCTCAGCATGCTCTCTGGATGGTTAGCACTGAATTTGCATGAGGCAGGACTCTTTTCCAGAAATCCTCCTGAGGTTACTGGGGGCTCCCATTCGAACTGGGGGCAAGGCCTCTCCAAACGACTTGAAAACGCTTTTCCCTTATCACTGCATGCATCAGCGAAAGCAGCAGGCGGAGGAAGAACAGATTCCTGGGCCTCCCCGGGACTGCTGGCCCCGGTCCGCATCCTACAGGTGCTGGTGTGCAGGCCGGGGGAGTAGGAGCTATGTGCGTCTTCCACCTCCATGTCAGATGGTGCCAGCGGGGACTCGGGGCTCCTCGGGAGCGGGGGCAAAGAGATGTCATCTGGGGAGACACACTCAGATTCCTCTCCTGACAGCACGTCCTCAGGCAGGAGCAGGTCTTGGAGGCCACCCTCTTGGACAGGGGCCAGCTGCTTCAGCTCCCGTGGAAGCCGCTCTTCCTCTGATCCATCGGTGACCAAAACGTCTGCCACCTGCACCTGATCCTTCAGGAGAGAAAAGCCACAGCGGCGTTAGTCGTTCGCTTGCTTCTCCTAGGTTCCAGTAAGAGTGAAATGCAGCTGCATTCACAGACTGGAGGTGAAGCTTGGCGGCTGGCACCACCGGGCCCTCTCCTCTGGGGACAGTGCCCCCATGACGAGGGAGTTGCTCAAGTGGCCTCGGATCTGAGGGAGAAGGGCAGGCTTTGGGAAGCACGACAGAGAAGCCCTGGTTTTCACCTCTAAACACCAGGTTGGAGTGGATCAGTGTCTCCTGAACCATGGTCGGAGGAATCTCCGCACCCAGCAAGTTCTGCCTGCTTGTGTTTCCGCTACGTCTATGCTCTGTGTGAACACAGAGTTCCAAACACTGAAGCCTACTCCCCTCCTTGGTAAGTGGGCTCGGATCCTCCCAGAATAACACTTCATCTCTCTCAAGAAAGCCTTTCTTTTTTAAAAAAATGCTAAAAACTACAATTTCCCATTTTCACCAATTTTAAGTAAACAGTTCAGTGATACTACACACTCACCTTACAATGTGGTCATCACCACCATCCATCTCCAGAATTTCTTCAACCCCCCCAAACTGAAACCACGGACCCATTAAACACCAACTTCCCATTTGCCTTCTTCCCCCGGATCCAGCCCCTGGGACGCTTTCTCTCCCTTTCATTTTGACTACTCCAGGTACCACATAAGTAAGCCATTCTTCATGACTGATTTTATTTTCTGAAAGCCCTTTAGTTTTATTCTTGGAGTAAAAAAAATTATTAAGCACCTACTAGGCCCATGGTAGGTATTAGAAGGATAATGTGTTAAGCAGCCACAGTCTCCACATTCGTGGAGATGATGGCCTGGCAGGGGAGTTGGATCCCTTCACCAGAGACTACAGCAATATGCAATGGAGAATCTCTGGCCACTTAGCTCTCCGCCCCATATGGAACATGGGCTCTGCTAGCAGCCATGGATGGTACTACTTCTACCCATTAATTCTTGTCCATTTCTAGTTTCAGAAGAGGTTTACATGTTCTTTCTACCATAGACTCAAAGGAACATTGGAGCTGAAAGATGTCTCATTGACTTCAACCTGCTTGTTTTATATCTACTTGCTGTGTCTTTTATTAGTATCTGAGTACCCTTTTACCTAAATAGCATGTATTGATTTTTGTCCTATTGCTACTACATGCACATAAGAAAATTATCTCTTGACTTTGAGTTTGAAATTGTACCCCATTGTCCTGCTCTTGACATATGTCTTATAAGTGATCTTTGAGAAAATCAATGTTTTCAGGTTGAAGAGTGGAAGCAAAATAGTGTTCCTTCTACTGTCTCTAAGAGATGAGCTGTCCTCAGAGAAAGCATAAACCTGGCACAGAGCAAGTGCTTTCCTTAAAAGTTTTAAAGCTGGATGTAAGGGACTGTGCTGTAGTGCAGCGGGTTAAAGCCCGGACCTGAAGTGTCAGTTTAAGTTCCAGCTGCTCTACTTCCAATCCATTTCCCTGCTGATGCACCTGAGAAAGCAGAAGAGGATGGCCCAAGTCCTTGGGCTCCTGCACCCATGTGGGAGACCCGGAAGAAGCTCCTGGCTCCTGGCCTCAGATCAGCTCAGGCTGTTGAGGCCATTTGGGGAGTGAACCAGTAGATGGAAGACCTTTCTCTCTCTCTCTCTCTCTCTCTCTCTCTCTCTCTCTCTCTCCCTCTCCCTCCTCTCCCTCTCTCTGAAACTCTGTCTTTCAAATAAATAAAATAAATCTTAAAAAAAGAAAGCTAGGTATAAGACCTAGTACTTCTTAAAAGTCTCTCACGTTAAAAAAAATAAATTATCAAACACCACACCTTCTTTACGTTGTCCTATCATAGTTTAACTTGGTGACTCTATCTCTCTTGCTGAAAGTACAATTTTTATTTTCCTTCTGCTATGGACTTTGATCCAAGTGCCTATTCAGTCTAAGAATGTCTTCTACAGCATTCTGGAAGCCTCTATTTGAAGAGATTTCCTGAATGGGTGCCTTCTTTGAGGATTTGATGTCCGCCTGGCGTTAAGACTACCTTTCTACAATTAGCAAAGGTCTGCCTTCCTGCAGTCCCTCCGCTGGTTTTGAATTGGCCTCCTGAAGCAGCCCAATTGCTTTCCTAGTTTAACAGCTCTTGAAATGCATGGAGAATTGGTCCTACAATTTCACTGTTTGTGCCCAACACCGTCCACTCCTCTCCAGCGTCAGCTCCTGGAAGCTTCATCATCTCACTCACTCCCCTTCTGGGAGATCCAACTCCTGTGGGGCTGCAGACCCCTGCATGACGAGCAGGGGCATCGGTTGACCCGAGGGCTATTGGGGATGGACTACTCCATAATGACTTTTTCAAGTAACCCACATCTCTCTGCTGAAGAGAAATGTTATGAAACTGCTTAAACATTACCACTAGCTTAGGGGAAACTTGAATAAAAGTCCAAGCCATTATCCCCACTTAATTCCTCCTGGGCAGCCTCTGGCTTACTTAAGTGAGGGTTTGGAATTAGGAACTGAGCATACCGAGCTGTGTCTGAGCTCCTCTTGTGGGATTTGCCTTGCACCCATTGGGAATGTTTGGCCGGCTCTAAGCTGAGGGGAGCCTGTGGCTGTCTGGCCGTGCCTCCAAGTGACTCCCTGGCAAGTCTGTCTCAGTGAGGCATGAAGCTGTGGGAAAACCACAGGAAAGTCCCAACCATGTTCTTCATCCAATTTCACTGCTTACTGAGTCCTATTTTATTTCCACTTCATAAAATTCTTAAACTACAGAAGTAGCTTTCACAGAAAATAATGCTGTCAGGTATTTTATACTAACAATGAGAGAGAGAGAGAGAGAGAGAGAGTTTCTCAAGTCTTTTCCTGGAAACATTTCAACTTATTAATTTACTTCCTCCCCCAATACTTATTTCTACAATTGATTTAACATCCAGATGGGTAGTAATCAGTAGAGTCATCATCTTCTTGATTTATAGGATATGTTTTTATTAAAGTGATTGCATAGTTCTTTTTTATTTTTATAAGAACCACATGGGGCCATTTGTTCATTCTAGGTCTTTAGTCAATTAAAGTGTTCTAACTCCTCTGTCCACTGACACCACTGATTAAAGTGCGCACTGCAGTTTAGAACAAAGCCAGATAGCTCCCTAAGGCAGATTATCTTCCACATTGACATTGATGAACTACTTAACACTCTTGGGTATAATTATAACCTGACCAAACTCTCACTCAGCTCACATTTCTCTACTTATCGTAGCAGAGACATCTTAAGTGTGTTTATCAGATGACTTCCTGAAATCACAATACATTATGCCTACAGCACTAACATAAAGTGACACATTAACTAATCATCTTTGCAAGCAAAATAAGGTGAGTTTAATGAATAAGTTTTACTCCAAGTAAATCCATTTGGCTCTTGGCACTTCTATCCGTATCCTCAAATACAAGTAATTTCTCAGTTTTTAAGGCGTTATGGGATTTTATAGTAACTACTTTTAAAAGTTACAGAGTGAGGCCGGCGCTGTGGCTCACTAGGCTAATCCTCCGCCTTGCGGCGCCGGCACACCGGGTTCTAGTCCCGGTCGGGGCGCCGGATTCTGTCCTGGTTGCCCCTCTTCCAGGCCAGCTCTCTGCTGTGGCCCAGGAGTGCAGTGGAGGATGGCCCAAGTCCTTGGGCCCTGCACCCCATGGGAGACCAGGATAAGCACCTGGCTCCTGCCATCAGATCAGCATGGTGCGCCAGCCGCAGCGCGGGCCGCGGCAGCCATTGGAGGGTGAATGAAGGGCAAAAGGAAGACCTTTCTGTCTGTCTGTCTCTCTCTCACTGTCCACTCTGCCTGTCAAAAACAAACAAAAAAAAGTTACACAGTGGCCAGTGTTGTGGCTTAGTGGGTTAAATTACTGCTTGGGATGACAGCAGCCCATATTGGGCCAGTTCGAATCCTGGCTGTCTCCCTTCTGATCCAGCTCCCTGCTAATGTGCCTGGGAAAGTGGCAGAGGATGGCCCAAGAGTTTGGGCCTCTGCATCCATGTGGAGGCCTGGAAGAAGTTCCTGGCTCCTAGCTTCTGGCGGGTCTGGCCCACCTCCCAGCTGTTGAGGCCATTTAGGGAATAAACTAGCGGACAGAAGATCTCTCTGTCTCTACACTCTCTCTGCCTTTCAAATCAATCAATCAATCATTGAGTCAGAGTTTTATAGATCTATCTAGGGTCTTTTTTTCATGAAAGTGATGTCCAACTCATACATACTAACTTTCCCCCCATAACTCCCCATCATGAGATCATGTTTGCTATCAGAATAAAAGTGAACATTTTGGAGCAAAAAAGTCTGCATGCCTCAATACAGATAGGGAGTACTTGTAATAGGCTGATGACTTCCAACACAATTGCCAAGAAAGTCTGACCTAATTCACCAAAATATAACTAAGCTCTCAAATTCATTCTCTTATTTCCATGGTGGCTCTTTGTCATCTTTGTCAATGCCTTTTCTTTTCTTATCTGCCAAGTATATGAATGACATATGTCTTTAAGTTCCATAATTTTCTTTATATGCTTTTTTTCACCCCCTCAAAGATGTCTTCCATGTTTGTATCTACAGGTCAATAAACGTTTGGTGATCCCTGAAACTATAGCCTCAGGTCTTACCTCTGTCAGGATTCCTGAACTTTCATTTCCACCGACTCCCAGAATCAGCTGAATTTTCAATCACTGGCATGTGGCCAGAGTGTGTGGAAAGGCGAATGTAACGGTATTCAACATCCCTCCAACTAGGTGGGCAGAACCAGTTCTCAAAACTCATAGAACAGGGAGCCACCAATTTGGTAAATCAAAAGGAATACCACAAAACCTCACCTTCCAAAACATCTATGAAAAGCATTTCTGGAGAAGGTTTTAGCAGGGCACTCTGAACAGCCAAGAGGTGACTTTGTACCTTTGGATACTTGGGATGGGCAAGGTAAAAGAGACAGGAAGAGAAGTGTGATAAAGAACACTTTTTCTCCTCAACTATTGCCAGCCCAAGTGTTGCCAGAGCACCTTCCCCCTCCTGCCAGGAGATCCAGAGGACCAGAGACTGTCCTCCTCGGTCTGAGGGGAACACCCCACTGCACTGTCTGGTATACAACTGCTTCCATGGGGCTGCCTTGTTAATCCTCCTGTAAACAGATGAAAGGGGAGAGGGAAAGGTTGGCATGGAGATCTAGAGCATCATCACAGCTTAGTTATGTTATGTGCTCCCCTTTGCTCTGCTGGAGAAGGGACGTGGCTGAAACTCCAGAGAACTGGGTCTTCTGCATGTGTGTGATTTTGGGAAACCAAAAAGTAGCGAATCTTCTTTCGCTTCAGTCTCCTCAAGTGTAAAATGAGATCGGATCAGATCATTGCTGAATCTCCTGTAGTGCGAAGGCTCTGAAGATCGGCATCAAACCCTCGCTTCCACTAAAGAGCTCCCTGACTTCGGGAGAGTCTTAATACTCTGCGCCTCCATTGAGCCCCAGGGGTTTTGAGATAGCACTGTGGATTTCGTTTCAGCACCCACGGTGGGATAAACCACCACCACCCATCTGTCAGCAGGGCTGTACGCACGGCATGTACTGGATTGTCCAATCCCACCTGCTGCATTTTTGGATCAGAAAAATGAGAAACACTTTGCCATCTCCAGGATAAATTCCCTGTGACAATCCTATTCTTGTATTGGGTTTGCAGAACTGGACTTTCTGATTAATAATTTCATTAGGAAGATTAACATCATTTAAAGGTATCAGAATTAAATGCACGAATTCCCAGAGAAGCAGTGATTTGGTGCTTCTTCTTATCTGCCCACATGGTGTTTTGAGGAACGATTATACCCGACCTATATACAAATAAGACAGGCAATAAGAGGGTAAATGCGATTGAGCTGCTTAAAAGTGAAGCTTACTGCCACCCTCTTATTATGCTGTCTGTGCTGACTGCGCCAGTCTCCTGGAATCCTTGACAGCTTTAATTGTGGACCTGCACTTTCATACTGAATGATTGACAAGCTATCTTTTTATCTTATACTAAAATAAAAGATTTTTCAATGAAAGCAGATCTTGCTTTTTTTATTTAAAGCAATTTATTTCTTCAATAAGAAAATAAATCAAAGCAAGAAAAATACTTTTCCTAAGTATATATGAGGTTTTTTTTTTTTTTTTGGGTAGTACTAATTTTGCTTTTGATTTTTTTTGTAAATGTGGTTGGTTCATCATGTAGGAAAATGCTGATCATTAAATAAAATTAATAATATGATATTAGATTTAGAACTTCCAGAAACTTAGTTAAGAAAATGTGGTATGGTTTTTTCCTAGTAAATATATTTTTATTTATTTTTAATTAGTTTTTTATCACATTCAATGTGATTTGTAGATACAACTCTAGGAACATAATGATATTCCCTGACTCTCTCCCTTCCTTCCCCTCTCTACCTCATACCCACCTTACTTCTCCCTTTCTTTTTTCTAATTTTTGAGAGAACATCACAGTAAAAAGGTTTACTATCTCACAAAATAAGAAATTTAAAAAGTATAAAGCAAAAAGACCATAGTTTAGTGGGAATATAGACTGTGGCTATAAATAATAATTGAATGGAAAAATAACCATTTCACCCATATACAGTAAATTTTAAAGTAATCACAGATCATTAAAACGATAGTAGTTTTTGGGGCCAGTGCTGTGGTGTAGTGGGTAAAGCCTCCGCCTGCAGTGCTGGCATCCATATAGGCACTGGATCGAGTCCCGGCTGCTCCACTTCCTATCCAGCTCTCTGCTATGGCCTGAAAAAGCAGCAGAAGATGGCCCAGGTTCTTGGCCCCTGCACCCACATGGCAGATCTGGAAGAAGCTCCTGGTTCCTGGCTTCGGATCAGTGCAGCTCTGGCCATTTCAGTCAATTGGGGATAGAAGACTTCTCTCTCTCTCTCTGCCTCTCCGTCTCTCTCTGTGAAACTCTGATTTTAAAATGAATAATAAATTTTTAAAAAAACTATAGAAGTATAACATTCCTAACCACTGGTTTGAAGAGGTATAAAACATTTATTTTTTTGGAAGGCAGAGTGTCAGAGAGAGGGAAAGAGGGAGAGAGAAACCCATCTCCCCTCATCTTGTTCACCCCCAAATAGCTGTAATAACCAGACAGAAGCCAGGAGTGTGGAATTCCAGCTGGGTCCCCTACGTGGGTGCAGAGGCCCAAGGACTTGTGCCATCATCTGCTGCTTTTCCAGGTGCAGTAGCAGGGAGCTGGATCAGAAACAGAGCAGCCAGGACTTGATGGGATGCCAGGGGCCCAGGTAGTGCTTACTTTGCTGTGCTACAACACTTGGCTCCTATTTCTCATCATTTTAACCTGTTGTTTGTTCCCCATCAGGGGTGGTTTTGCTCCCCAGAGGCCACTTGGCAGCGTCTGTAGATATTTTTGATTGTCACAACTGCAGGGGATGGTGGTGTTACTGGCATCTTGTGGGGAGAGGCCAGGGCTGCTCAAGAACATTCCACAACACAGAGGACAACCCCTGCAATGGATTTTTCTGGCACATACGCCAATAACGTTGGGACTGTGAAACCCTGATTGAGAGCAATCGGAGTAACCAAGGAGCATTTGATGTAAGACGAACCCTGACCAAGAGGATCAAGGTTGGATAGCTTTCCTTCGACTCAGAAAGGAACTGGGGTTTAAGTAGCTCAAGGCCGTACCACAATATTTACCTGCTTAATCATATTTGATGACCTTGACATAGACTTAACCTGCAGAAAAGGACCTATAAAATTATAAGAACTGCCTGAACTTCAGGAAACTATAGATCTCGCTCAATGAAATAACGGCCACAACAAATAGAGAGTGGTTTTATTTGTTTGGCTTTTGTTTGCTTGTCTTTAAGTCTTATGTCACAAGATGTACATTTTATCAACTGAGGGAAGTTGAGAATAATGTTGGTGCTACTGCTCCTGTACTTCCCCAGGAGAGACATTGGGGCCAGGCTAACTTGACAGAGCACAAAGCTAAAAGCTACTTATCGTCCTGCAGCTATGAAAAGAGAGGGGACAACCAATGCCGAAAGCCCAGAAGGACTCTGTGATTTCAGTCACGCTTTGGAAACAAGGCTGTACACTAACATTTTGTACTTGCAGGTTTTGTGCTTTTGCGAATTAATCTGTAAATGTCTAAGTTTTAGACTAATTGAAGCATTTCTTTAAATACTTTAGTGTGCATATTCTGGTGGAGTCTACGTTTCAGTGCATGTGTCTGGGAATATCACATTAGAGGTTGATTCAATGGGAACAAAATACAATCTAATTTCATATACTCAGGTTTTACAATAGGTAAAACAATAAAAGTCATAGTTCCGCAATGTGACAGAATAGAAGCAAATTTGAAGCTGGATCAAATTCTAATCAATGGGATGGAAGATCTCTCTCTGCTTTTAAAAATAAATTTTTTAAGTAATAAGAAAATGAAAAGAACGAAAGGAAAGGCAGCTAGAGGTGGAAGAAACAGAAGGAGCCTGGGAGCACAGGATGGTGCTTGAACGGCCCTTGCACGACCTCTATGAAGAGCTGTGGTTGTGGTGTTCAGTAGGAGGCACTCAGAGGGAAGCAGCAGGAGGCAGAGGGACCTGGGGGTAGGCAGGATTAAGGCGGGAGGAAAGGCACAGTGCATTCACAGTCAGCAATTTCATTTATACGGAAAACAAGACTCCACTTCCCACCCAGCCCCATTTAGTGTGCAATGCACGATGATACCAAAAAATGGCAAAGCAGAAATATGGAATAACAGAGGTTAAGAAGCTCTCTTTACCTTGTTCCTTCCTTCACTGAATATCGTCTGCTTATTTCTTGCTGGCTCCTTTAATAGGTCAATGCAATGCTCATGGAAGTCCTCCAAGTGTGGGTTCATCTTTAACACATCTCCCTGCTGTACAAAGAAGCAGTTAGTGAAAGCCTGGGCCAGCAAAGATGGAAGACACAAACCTGGAAGAAAAACAGTGGCTCTTTGCAACCCTGCAACAGATGTCTTCCGCAAGAGTCTGATGTAGACCTGTGATGTGATTTCTACCATTATCCCTTCAAGCTCACAGCTCCCTTCCTGCCTCACTCCTTTGATAAAGTTCATTGCCAGTGAAAACTGGTCATGCAAAGACCCATCGGGAAAGACGGAATCGTTGCAATAGGATGCTCCAACAGGCACTTTCTCTAGAGAGAGGAGTCACTGTGCGTGGAAGTTGAAACCTGTGGGAGAGTCTGGGGCGCAGCAATGGGGGAGAGACAGTGAAAGGTCTCTGGTGGAGAAGACGCAAGACGCAGAGAATCTACACAAAGAAACTGCTCTGTTCGGGAGCCTCTTGAAAACACAGAGGCAACATCACCGGGACAGGAGTGAAAGCAGACCCTTGAGAACACAGGATGCCTCAGTGGGTGAAGATGAATTAATCCTGCATTTCCTCGGGCCCAGCTTTAGTCGTGATTGTGGTGAGGGTTTGCAAACTATATGGAGTCAAGAACATGCTGTCAAGGTGAAAGCAGCCATGTGGACCCCAGGGGGCAGAACACTCCAGTTAAGGGTAGTGATTATGCTGCAACGGATAATTCTCTATGCCGCTGGGAACCTGGCCACTGTCTGAGTTTTAGGGAAGCAGGTGTGTTCAGCAAGGCACAGGGGTATGCTGTCTCATGGGACTTAGGGAGTCATACTACTCGGGAGATTGGACTTCCAATCTCAAGTCAAACCTGGTTCGTATTACTGGATGAGTCACTCGGCCCAAGTACACATTTGCTATCTAATCCCAAAATGGCAGCTGTTATGGAAAGAATGCTGGGTTTTGAATTGGATCTAAGTTTCAGTTCCATATCCACCACTACTGACTGCAGGGCCCAAGTGAAGTACTTTTATTCTCTTTGAACTTGCTCTTTCACCTCTAAAGCCATAAAAGCAACATTTGCCTTATTTCTACCTCAATGTCATTTGGAAATCACTGGAGATAATATAAATGAAAATATGTAAGTCTCAAATTACTATACAAATAGAAAATATTTTTATCACCATTTCATCCATGACAGGAATTGCTAGATCCAGTTTTTCATAATTCTTGTGAAATACAGCCATAATAGCAACCCTAAAAACATAAGAACTAGACATTTTTTCTTTTCACACAAACATGTATGGAATGCTAAGTATTCATCGACAAGCTTTTGTTTAGTCTGTAACTCGTAAAGATAGCACGGATGCCTCTTTCTCTTGCCAGAGAGACCCTCCCCCTTTTCCAAACCCACTGAAATCAAACCTTTTTGAGCCACTGAATAATTCCTCTCTGTGCTAATTATTTGTGCATTTATTACATGTGCCAAAACCTTACCCAAGAACCTGCTTTGCAAGACAAAGATCAGAGCTAACCATGGTGTCGGACACTAAACCGAGCAGGGCTAGACTTTTTCCTTCAGTACAACCAAGTAGGGTGGCTGGGGTGGCAATGGTAATTGCATTGGATCATTATGGTCTGGATGTTCACGTCTGCCCAGATACTGTATGGGGAAATCATCACCCATAAGGTGATGGTATTAGGCAGCAGGGCCTTTGAATGGTGATCAGGGCACGAGATCAGTGCCTTTATAAGAGGCCTGAGACTGCCACCAGGAGACGTTAGAATGAGAAGATGCTGTCATTGAGGAAGCTGACCCTCATCAGGCCCGGAATCTGCCAACACCTTGACCTTGGACTTCTCAGGCTCCAGAGCTATGAGAAATACATTTCTGTGGTTTATAAGCCCCTGGGTCTGTGCTATTGTTTATAGCAAGCTAAATGGCTGGCAGTTAAGGAACAACTAATGCAAGAGGCGATGCTTGGATCTGGCTTTCAGAGATGGTTCAATTCTGATCAACAGAGACAGGCCATATACTGAAAGTAAAGGTTTAGAAGTAGGAAAGCCCAGGGAATGTACTACACCAATGGGACAAAAAGAAACTGCAATGAATGCACAATGTTTTAGAAAGTTAATTAGTCTCAGAATATTGGAAAACTTTGAGTCTGAACTGCTCTTGGCAGGCAACAAAGAGTTTGTACTGAAATGTTTTAAATATAAAATGATACTAGCAGATCTAGTATTAAGCTGACCTTTAGCTAACTGGGGTATAATTATGAGACCCCCACCTTGTATGAAAGAGAATCCAGGCTGGCATTGTGACATCATGGGTTATGTATGCTGCAGCTTGGGATGCCCACATCCCATATCCGGGTTCCGGTTCAAGTCCCTGCTCATTCACTTTCAATCTCACTCCCTGATAATGCACCTGGGAAGGCAGTGGCCCAAGTACTGAATCCCTGCCATCCATCTGGGAGACCTGGATGGAGTTCCTGACTGCTGCAGGCACGCAGGGAGTGAACCAGTGGATGGAACCTATCTCTGTTTCTCTCTCTCTCTCTCTCTCTGACACTTGGCTTTCTAAATAAATAAATAAATCTTTCTAAAAAAAGAGAGGGAATCCAAGTGCTGGGTTGGAAATGAGAAAGAGAGTATAATACCCTGTCTACAGGGAGGAGAAGGGGGGAATGAAGACTTGAGGGGAGGCTTTGAAAACAGGTTTTCGGGAAGAATAGCTGTGAAAGGGAAAACTAGAGACAGGTATCATTTGAGGAGAGAATATTTCATTCAGTTGAAGATGTACAAAACGAACGGGAAGGAGGTTGCAGGCAAGCAAGAATGCAAAACAGGAAACAGCGATGCTCAGCTTCCATACTGGAAGACAAAGCAGGTCCTCAGGGGGTGAGGTAGAAGCAGGGAGAGAGTGACGAATGTTGAAAAAGTTAACACAAGACATATGAGTCATTCCCACATCAGTAGTGGAATTACAACCGCACAACATTTACAGAAAGCAACTTGATATATGGGACATTAACAATTTCATGACTATTTTCCCAAATCCGCTTTGGAGGATTTATATGTAGGTTTGTAAAATAGAAAATACAGAGAAAACTACACCCAAAGATACTCAATGTAGTATTATTTATTTAAAATGGCAAAGTTGAAAAATCTAGATTCTTTTTTAAAATTTGTATTTATTTACTTTTGTTTATTTGAAAAGCACAGAGACAGAGAGACAGAGACATGTCCCATCTCCTGTTCATTCTCCAAATGCTTGCAACACCTGAAGCTGGCCAGACCAAAGCCAGGAGCCAGGAACTCAAGCTGGATTTCCGACACAGGTGGCAAGGATCCAACAACTGGAACCATCACCTGCTGCCTCCCAGCAGTGAAGCTGGAATCAGGAGCGGAGCCAGGACTCAAACCCTGATCCTGGGATATGGGACACAGGCATCCCAGGTAGTGCACTAACTGCTATGCCACAGCTCACCCCAGGTTCTTAAACAAAGGAGAAAGATAATTTGGTTGAGCATTCAATTAATTAAAAGACTCACACACTTGGAATGGAATTGGCCCTCAAGTTTCAGACATAGAAACAGGAAAAAATAATGGTTGACAGACATAAATTTAATTCCGCTCTGGAGGGCAAAACCGCCATAACCATCAGGATCACAACAAAACCTTAGGTGTCTTCATATGCAATCCTCAGGACTACCCTGTGCTCCATGTTGTAGGCCAGGAATATGACTCTGGGGATGTTAGCAAGTTACCCAGCCAAATGTCTAACAATCTGAGGAGCTGCTGCTCCCGCACAGCCGTGCTTTGCTCTAGAGCTCCTGCCCTGATTTACCTTGCAATTCTCCCAACCTAAATCACCAGTTCTTTCAGTCAGTTGTAATAACAACATTAATCAAGCCAGTTTTTAACCCGACATAGACAAAACAACGTGTGCATTTCTCCTCTAACTGCATTTCGCTAGACAGACACATAAGCATTTTCTCGATATTTTTTCCATCTATGTTTTATTCCGTGGAAGGTGATAATGATTGGTTTAATATTCCCAGGAAGCTAAATGTTCAATGACTATAACACCAGAAGATTCATTTTCTTTTCTCTGGTGTCATAAGATGGAGGGAAAAAGATTACATCTATTATTTATGAACAAAAACCTACGGCTACTTGAGACAGACTTCGCTGGGGCTCTAATGGCACACATTTAGCCTTCAGGATATGATCCATGAAAATGGAAGTGAGATACCTTCATTGTGCTTAGCCCTCATTCCCAGCAATAGTTTTCTCTGCAGTGATGGGAAAGAAACAGAATTAATTATGAGAAACACCCCAATAATTAGGTTAGAAAGCTGCAAAACAAATGTGTACATTATGTGCTTTGAGAATTTCTATCAGAATATCTGCCCACAAGAAGACATTGGATCAACACATTTTTTATTTCTATCACTTGAAAATGCATATTCTAGGAAGAAGAAATTACCTTCAGTTTTTCTTCAAGCTCTGTCAGAGACCCACATAATTCACCAACAGACTCCAGAAGCTCTTTGTGTTTTGCCACAATTTTCTCAGCATATCTCTGCCCTTCTTCCATGCCTGGGCAAGAGAAAGGATAAAACTATTTTTAAGTGTCAAATCCTTAACAGGAAAAACAAAAAGCCCTTACTTTATATTTTTGTCACCAAAGCCCTACCTCCTGTTCTAGGTCTACTTCAAATATCAAATCTCTGTGAAAATGTTCTTAATCTTTCCCAACTGGATTTTCTGTCTCTCCGTTGGATAGTAACACAAATAGCTATCATGTAGTAAGAGCGTATTATCTGCCTATGACTAAGCACTTCAAGAGCATTTTCTAATGCAATCCTCAGTCGTCCTGTTGCTCATCTGTAGTCCTGTAGTCCGCTGGTCCTCATTTGTGGCTACAAATGAGGGACCAGAGGCTTCTAGAAGAGCTTTTGACTCAAACACTAATTGAAGGAATACAGATTCAAACCAGCACAATCTGACTCTTCAGCCTAGGCCCGGCTGTAGTATACAATGCTATAGGCTGAAACGTGTCTTCCCTCACATCCCAATTCGTATGTACAAGTCCCAGTCCCTAGGACCTGAGGCTGTAACTGTGTTTATAGATAAGGTCTTTAACCAGGTGATTAAGATCAGAGGGGACCCTGATCCTATATGACTGATCTCTTTCTAAGCAGGAAGGTAGACACTGGGGAATGACTATGAAGATGCAGCAAGGGTCAGCCATGTGCTAACCAAGAGAGTCCTCAGGAGAAGGCAATCCTGCCAGCACCTTGCTCTTGGGTTTCCAGACTTCAGAACTACAAGAAGAGCTTTTTGTCTCAAACAATAATTGAAGGGATACAGATTCAAACCCAGCACAGTCTGACTCTTCAGCCTAGGCCCAGCTGTAGTACACTATGCTGTGGGCTGAAACGTGTCATTCCTCACATCCCAATTCATATGTACAAGTCCCAATCCCTAGGACTCAAAACTCTGTTGCTGAGGCCATCCAGTCAATGGTGTTTGGTACGGCAGCCCTAGCAAACACATTTCATACTTTCTCACTCCATTCAACATATCATGACTTTTAGGCCTAACTTATGATTTCTTGAATGCATTCTACTAGGTCTCACTTGTCTTTACGTCAACAGCTGGTCTTCATAATAGATACTCAAAATATTTTTTGAGATAAATGATTTGCATTAAAATTTGGGATTTAGTAATGCTTGAATGGCCAGTGAGTACCTTACTTTATGGAAATTTTGAAAAATATACTGTGGTTTTCATACTGATCAAATGCAGACTCATGCCATTCATGTATTCAATCAAATTATGCATTCAATAAGTCATCTGTAGGCACTCAGCATGTGCCATGAAGCAGGCACTATTGCTTCTTTCTGTGAGCGTATACTCTGGTAAAGAAAGCCAGACAACAGACACGTGATTATACGCATGTAACACGTCAGCTGGTGATATCAGCCAGGAATACAGAGGAGGACACAGGATCATGTATGAGGAGAGGGAAATTACGGATCTTTGTGAGTACTTGTCATGCTCTGAAATGGAATAGGCACTGCAGTACAGTGATGCAATATGTTTAGCTTGCCTGCAGTGGAGAAAACAGACAAATAAACAAGGGTTCACACTACAGTGTGAAAATACAGTAAGAAACATACACAGTGCCATGGGAGCAGAGTGGGAGGCTGCAATGGTTTTTAGTGCACTTAGAGTAAAACAAAGAGATGTCATAGTAGTTTTTAGTAATTTTTCCATCTATATTTTACTATTTCTTGAATAATTAATTAATTTATTTATTTATTGAAAGTCAAGGTTACAGAGAGGGATGGACAGATGGAGTGAGGGGAGAGAGAGAGAGAATCTTCCATCTGCTGGTTCATTCCCCAAATGGCTGCAACAGCCACTTGGGTGCAAGGGTCCAAGCACTTGGGCCATCTTCTTCTGCTTTCCCAGGTCCATTAGTAGGGAGCTGCATCAGAAATGGAGCATCTGGGGACTCGAACCGGTGCCCATATGGGATGCCGGCCTTGCAGGCAGCAGCTTTATTCACTACACTCCAATGCCAGCTCCAATATATTTTATTACTTGTATGTTTCTACCTTTTTCCTTTAGAAAATCATGAGTAATTCACTCAATAATTTAATATTAGTAGCATGAGAGCCATCATTTGTCAAAGTTTTATGGCTGTCCGTAGACAGAGCTTCATGTTATAAAAGAAAACAGCCAGCAGCAGCTGCAGGCAGCCCCAGCACAGCAGGCCGTGCCACCTGCTGCTGTCCTCTTTCTGGGCTGCATTTGCCTGGTCACTGGGAATGACTCGGTCTCAGAGGACGGACAGCAGGGGATGCACGACACTGATTCCTCAGAGCCCTCGAGGCCGCACGTCACCCAGGGCTGTCTTAAATGGGGTCCTCTCTCCAAAAGGAGGACCTCTGAGGCTGACAGCGGTACTCTCTCCCCTAATCACAGGGGACAGGGAAGCAGATGGGGAGATGATTAGTTGAGGCTTCCCACTGGTGCCACAGTAAGAGGAAGGCAAGGGACATTGTCCAGCTCTTTCTCAAATCTGTGAGCCAAACCCTCCTATGCAGGAGGGGGCCATAGACATCAGTCTCAGCTTTATGCCAACGTGAAGTATTACAGGATTTCAATGTTTTTTCAAGGAATCATTCTGGTGGGAAATTAGGTTTTATTTATTTTATTAGTATTATTTTTGTCTATATAAGTTGAGTACCGCCTTGGTTTTACTGCCCTGGAGATGAACAACAGGAAGGGCAGGGAACAGAAAGGGGAAGAAGGATGTTTCAAGGCGGCTAAGTCAGTAGGGCTTAACCTCCCGTGGTGTGATGCCTGCCTCTGGCCCCCACGGTTTGCCTTTGCTGGCTGCAGGCTCTTTCCCCTGAGCCTGCTCCCTGTTCAGGTTGTTGAGTGAGGACCCGAAGGCTTGCTGCTCTGCTCTGCCTGTCTTGAATTAGGTTCCCGATGGATCTGCTCAATGGCAAATCGCTGGCGACCTTAGGCGAGAGCTCACCATACAAGCGCTGAGCCAGGTCGGTGACTTCCCGGAGCCTCTGCTCTTGCTGCGGCACCGAGGGTGTGATGAACTTCTGGAACTGCTGGTGGAGAATTTCCACGGCTTCCTTCGTCTTGCACTCTGCGGAATATTTTCCAACTCTCACAATCGTGGCACTTGCGTCTTCATACCAAAAGTGACACTAAATCGACAATGAGACAAAGCACAGATTCAAGAGCTGCCATCCTTCTAAAGTTAATTTTAGCCAGCGGAGTGTTACACTTGAACTTCCTCAAACTTCATGTTCCCAAGGGCTTCAAACTTTCTAAGTCAGAATAAAGAAAAATCATGAACATACACTTTTAGACTTGGATAGTAGAGGCAGAAATAAGAAATGTAGGGAAATATGTTTGATTCTCCTACCTTCTTAGGTTTGCCTAAAATATAATCCCTGAGAGGACAACTGCAAGTACAAGTAACATAAAAAAGCATTTGGCACTAAGTGGAACCCAAAAGGGAAAGAAAAAAGCCAAAGCACTCGAAATGCAGCATAATGAGTTGACACAATATTCTCATCAATAATACATGAGTAAAGTATTGCCTGATTCTCTAATAAATACAATCTCTTCTGAAAGTGAGATTCAGCTTGTGGATGAAGGAAATATCATCCACAAACAGTGTGTCACCTTTTTAAATAGACGACATTCAGTCATATGTTCAAAGCACAGCAGAGAACTGAAAATAAAGGACTGTGATGGAGGCATGTCTGAGCCAGGCTCAAAGCATTCACGCCGGGTGAGAAACTGAGACACAAACTGTTAGGAGCTGTTTCTAAACAAGTGCCACAGAGCCACAGCAATCTTACAGGTCTGAAGCAGAGGAATGATCAGCTCACCTCCCCAGAGTGGAGTTTAACCTAAACACTCAACTCTGTTAGACACTGTGTGCCTCAGAACAGCGGACAACTAGGAACATTCAAGAACTTTAAGTGCAGGGGTTCTTCCCTATGAAGCATGAGATAACTCTCACTTGGCAACTTCTGCATATTTTACGCATACACTACAATTCATGCTCTTGACAATAACAAAAATAACACCAACAATAACTTTCTGTACTTCATAAACCACAGTGTCACTTTTCCCTAAATATTTTCAACTTCTGTGAAGTAAACAAACCATTTTGATTATTTTAAACAGATGACCAGTAATTAACCTAATTTCATAATGGTTAAATATCTTGAATTGATGAGATTATGGAGAAACGTGCACTCTCATACACTGCTGGTTAAAGTAACTTGGTGAAACCTTTCTGAAGAGAAATTAGTAAACATAATAAAGGAAACCTTATAACCACTGGCTGCTTTCGCTCCAGCAATTCTACTTTAGGAAAATATCTCATGGAAATAATCATGAAAAGGAGTATGAGTCACAGAATTAATGACAGTAGTAGCTAATGCAACAGTCTTAAAATAGCAAAATAATTTTTTAGAACCTTATAAAAAGAGGGGCCGGCACTGGGTGTTGCGGGGTAAGCCACTGCCTATGGATGGCCCTGGCATCTCACAAGGGGCCTGGTTTCAGGCCTGGCTGCTCCACTTCCGATCCAGCTTCCTGCTAGTACACTTGGGAAAGCAGCGGAAGACGGCTCAGGTGCTTGGGCTCCTGTATTCACGTGGGAGACCTGGATGAAACTCCTGGCTCCTGGTTTCAGCCTGGCCCAGCCTTGGCCTTTGTAGCCATTTGGGGAATGAATCACAGATGGAAGACCTCTCTCTCTCTCTCTCTCTCTCTCTCACTTACTCTGTAACTCTGCCTTTCATATAAATAAAATAAACCTTAAGAACAAATTACAAAGAGGATAGCATTACAAGATACCTCTTCTATTATTTCCTGAAGATGCTCGGTCAGGTCCAAATTCCTTTTGTAATCTGTAACAACTTTGTCAAAGTCATCCACATGTTTTTGCAAATCCTTCATGGCTTCCAAAAGGACACTAACTTTGTTACTTGGATAATTCAAGAATGTATCAGAAATTCTATTACCAACTTTCTCTATTTTCCTTTTCAAAACCTGTACAAAAGAGTTTTAAAACAGCATTCAATTTTTATTTGTGAAATTAGTGAGAGAAAAACATTTTAAAAAATTTTTTGTAGCTTTCGCCACAAATGTGGCTTGGAAACAGCAGATTTTCTTACAGCTCTTTTAATTCAGCACTCTAACAATTCATGGAAAATTTATATTTTATAACAGGGTCTTCTCCAGATTTTGAGAATGATAATCTAAAAAATTTTAAAAAGACAATGATCATAAAACCAAAATCAAATGCTTGGGAGAGCCAGTGCTCTGGCACAAAGGGTTTAGCTGCAGCCTACAGCAGTGGCTTCCCAGATGAGCGCTGGTTCCAGTTCCGGCTGCTCCACTTCCAATTCAGCTCCCTGCTAATATGCCTGGGAAAGCAGCAGAAGATGGCCTGAGTACGTGAACTTCTGCTACCCACATGGGAGATCTGGATAGAATTCTTGGCTCCTAGCTTCAGCCTATACCAGTTCCAGCCATTGCTGCCATCTGGGGAATTAACCTGAATATATAAATTCTCTCTATTTCTCCCCCACCCCCCATCCTCTCTGTAACTCCATCTTTCAAATAAACAAAATAAATCTTTTTAAAATATCAAATATTTGCCCTCCAGAAGATCAATGTCTCCTTGGAAAGGCATCCAAACCATTTAGCCAGTGCATATGATCATCGAGAGACTACAGGAGCAGTGTAAGAAGCTCCTGAATCAGACAGCTCAGGAAGAGGGAGGTAAAAAGGTATATGTGTTGGAGGGAAAGTTGAGTAGGTTTGAGAGAAACCATCCTGGAGCTGCCTCAAGAGATAAATCAACTTATTATATATTACATACAATGAAATTGTTGTAAAGATGGTAAACTGCCCTTTTAGTCCCAATCCTATTTAGAAAAAAAAATTAGGCACATAGAATTGAAATGCAAAATTATTTTGCAATAATTGTAGTAGTACAAGTGCGCATGCACACACACACAATACTTTCACATTACCTGCATTTTTTCAGCATATGTATCAACTTGTTGAATTTGATACTTAAGAGTCTTCAGATTTCGAGCTTTTTCATTTTTTTTAGTATAATTAAACTTCAAATTGTTGAATTTCTTTTTGATATCTTTGAATGAATCTTTGAGCTGCAGTTTAAAAAAGAAAAATAACTCTTAAAATGAGGACTAATATTCATTTGTAATAAATCAACACTTCAAAATATTCATAATCTTCGAAATACAGAGTTTCAATAGAAAATAAATCTAAGTGAAACGTAATGTGAATTTAAATGTGCCTCTCAAATGAGTAATTATAATTTTTAATACTTTATAATTTTAATTGGAATTACAACTATAGAACATCCCTTTAACCCCTAAGCAAGAAAATTCCTAACATATCATACACAGACTTTCAACAACTGATTTATTTATTTAAAAGGCAGAGTGACAGAGGGAGTTGGAAAGATCTTCCATCCATTCCATTTTATTTTCTAAATGGCCACAACAGCCAGGACTGGGCCATGCCAAAGCAAGGAGCCAAGAACCCCATCCTGGTCTCCCACATGGGTGGCAGGGACTCAAGTGCTTGGGCTATCTATAACTTCCTTTTCAGGTGCATTAGCAGAAAGCTAAATTGGAAGCAGAGTAGCCAGGACTCAAACTGGCACTCCGATAAGGGATGCTGGTGGCACAAGTGGGCAGCTTACCCCACCTGTGCCACAACATTGGCCCCTTCTCACTGATGCTGTTCTCTGTGTGCTAATATCTGTCCCAGATCTCCTCATGTCTCCAGATTCTCTCTTACAGACATCATGTATACATTTATTGAAGGTTCAAGGAGCTGTTCCTGTTGAAGAGGCCAGTGAAGTGTTGACACTGAGACACTGGTGTAGTGAAAGAGAAGATCAAATAGGAGATTTAGTAGGAAAGAATTTGTTAATTAAAAATGATTTTTCATGAGAAATGTCCAGAAGAGTTTTACTTCTTGGATATAGGCCATTAAAAGGAGAAGTCCTTCAACAACAAAAGTGTAGAGTGAGAGTTGTTGGCAATGATGAGTAGCTTGCATATAAACAGAGTGTCTGGCTTTACATTGTGAATAAGGTCTGATTATGACAGTCTTAAGAACAGTTCAACTTTAGCAATGCACCCAAATTCTAAGCAATGCAGTTCCATGAAACACGCCACTATCTCTTCCCTTCTCTATATTCAAGGAGGATAGGCATATTGACAGGCAGCTCTCTTTGCATTATAGGCAAAGAGAAGTACACAGAAAACATAAACCTTAGATTATAAAGAGGCATTTAACAGCAAGAGTGAACATCATGGTTGATAACTTAGAGCTATGACAAGAAAGGCAGAAGACCATCAAAACTCTTTTCAATGACAAGAAAACAAATTATTTGAGAGGCAGTAAAGGCCATGCACACTCTGGATTTTAGACTTCTAATACAGGAAAGTAGACCTGCCCAAGAAAACGTGTGCTTTCTCAAAATGCTCCTGGTGAGAATAACACCTTGACCTTATCTTTAATGCTTCTGGGAGATGATCACTGGTAAAGCATTAGAAGATTTTCATACACAGTAATTATTACCTTCTTGCAATTTTTGCATCTAACTCAGTTAATCAATGTTATTGTATATAATAAATGAAATTGCTGAACAATAGTTTTTATCTACACACTAAATGAAGAACAGAGACCATATAAACCATCTTAATTAATAAACCAGAAATTTTCAAAATGAGTGGAAAGGGCTATAGTTTAAAATCTAAAAATTAAGGGGCTGGCACAGTGGCACAGAGGGTTAAAGCCCAGCTTGCAGTGCCAGCATCCCATATGGGTGCCACTTTGAGTCCTGGCTGCTCCTCTTTTAATCCAGCTCCCTGCTAATGCACCTGGGAAAGCAGCAGAGGATGGCTAAGTCGTTGGGCCCCTGCACCCACGTGGAAGACCCAGAAGAAGTTCCTGGCTCCTGGCTTTGGATCAGCTCAGCTCTGGCCGTTGTAGCCATTTGGGGAATGAACCAGCAGATGGAAGACCTCTGTCTGTCTCTACTTCTGTGACTCTTTCAAATGAATAAATCTTTTAAAAAATTTTAAAATTAAAAATTCTATTAGAACTCAGGAAAATCCTTAAAAGATGATACTCAGTTGGTTATTTATGAAATAATTAATATTTACATTCTATGACATTCAGTGACTGATTTTTAGTAAAGAGGATAAATATTCTTAATTTCTCATAGCATTGAGAAATTTAAAAATTACATATTTAGTTCCTCACATAAGACCTTGGCAAGTCTTATGTGAATAGGTCCCCTAAAGTCATAATCTGCAACAAGATGTAGTGAGCACTACCTGTGAGTAAATCCGAAACTGTTTTAAAACCCTTCCCCCATATCAAGTTATTGCTTAGTGAGTACTGAGTGTCCGTCTGGCGTGATGAAAAAGGTCTGTAGCTGGGTAGTGGTGCTGACTGCACATCAGTGTGCCTATATGAAATACCACTGAAGCATACACATGAAGTTGTTAAGGCGGTCAGTTTTGGGTTACGTGCATTTTACCACAATTAAAAATAAAAGAAAGGAAGAGAAAACAAGTCCTATCACGGACACTTATCCACTGGAAAATACAACTTCACGTTCTTACTTTGATTTACTGAAGCATGACTGACATTACAGGCTTCAGTCTAAAGGAAGGAAGGTGGGGTCTATCGTGAAGCTGGCAAACCACTGGCTTTCATTTGCTTCATGGGAACTCTCTAAGCCTGTTGAAACACTCTACGAGGAACCGAGAAAGGCGGAGCCTTAATGCCTACTTCTACAGCACAAGGTTTCAGGCGAGCTTGGTTTACGCAGTGTCAGAGCCCCAGCCAGTGAGTGCGGTTCTCTTGGCTTCGGAGTGTGCACTGTCACTGCAGATGACTTACAAGGCCGGAGAAGGCTCATGACAGCAGGGGTATGTGAGACGGGATCAGCTTCTTTCTGACACATGAGCTCCCTGACACCACTGTTGGCACTTCGCTCTTTGAGTCCTCTGGAAATCCATGTAAAACTCTAGCCCCCCGTGTCGTTTCCAAGTGGGACTCAGGACCACTGCAGATACGAGTGGAGGGCAGCCTGCACGAACTTCCTTGGGCACCTGAAATGCCCGGCCCCGCGTTTCCTACCGCACATTCCAATCTGAAAACTTATGTTCCCATCTAATCCCCGCATAACTGTGTCATATGTTTAAGGGAGCCGAGTGCTATGGTTGCTTGGCTGTGCTATCATTGTCCATGCAGCTGTTTCTAACTTTAGTTAGCTTGTCAACAATGGGGAATGGTGGGGACGGCTAGGACAACTGCTCCACCTCCACACAGAGGCAGAAAAAAACACCCACAGCTTGGGGTGGGAAAAGCTTTACCTTATCACAAATCTTATAGTTTATATTAATGACATTTCTAAAGTCTCGGGAAACCTGGAGAAATGATTTTTCCTATCTTTTGTCTTGCTCAGCTCTTCTATATTTGCTATGGAATAAGCAATGTCAAAATAGCTATAATTGGACAAAAAGTGACTAAGATTTAGAAACTGCAGTTCTTCTGAAGCTACAGAATGAACCTCTTCGCCACATTTCCCAGCATGCCTTAAGCCAAGCCCCCTCTCAAAGTGAGACATGACCGAAGCTACTCTGAGAAGCGCAGCGGGGGGAAAGGGGCTGCTGACCAGCGAGGCTGGCTTGCTATTTTTAGCCTTGACTAAGCCAGTTGAGGCAGCTTTGGCACAAGAATGTATTTGTTAAGTTTGTGGCTGGCAGGGCCAAGTGTGAAAGGAACATGGGACATTTTAAAGGGGAAGAAATGCATTGTTTTTCAATCCTTTCCTTAGAACTGTGGCACCCATTTGGCTGGGAGCAAAACTACAAAGCAAGTCATCAATTTTCATCTTTCTCAATGTCTGCTGCTTTTATCAGCCACTCTGGGGAAAAAAAAAACAAAAACAGCTTTCTGCTGCTCATTTTCAGGAACAGAAGGCTCTAGGGGTGCTTGCATTTGAGAGGAAAAGACTGAATGACTCAAAATTCAACCCAACTTACTTGCCACCATTATTAAAGGTAAAAGGCCCCTTCAGGACCAAGTTCCCTGGCCTTCCTCCATTCTGCACTCTTACCGCTGTCTTCCTGTGCTGCAGGCCATGGAGCTACAGAAAGTGGGCAACTTGGGAAGACAAGACAGTGGCTCTATCGTGAATTGGAGGTGGCAGCAGGTCTCATTGAAATATCTTATCTGGGAGCCAATGCTGCGGCTCGGTGGGTTAAAGCCTTGGGCTACAGCGCCATATGGGCACCCAGTTTGAGTCTCGGCTGCTCCACTTCCAATCATGCTCCCTGCTAATGCACCTGGGAAAGCAGCAGAGGATGCTCCAAGTCCTTGGGCCCCTGAACCCATGTGGGAAACCCAGAAGAAGCTCCTGGCTCCTGGCTTCGGATCAGCTCAGCTCCACTGTTGTGGCCATTTGGGGAGTGAACCAGTGGATGGAAGACTCGCTCTCTCTGTCTCTACCTCTCTCTGTAACCCTGTCTTTCAAATGAATAAAATAAATCTTTAACCAAAAAAAGGATCTGATCCATGCCTCTGTTTTATGTCTTCCAATATATTGTGAAGTTTTGTTTTCCGGACATGTTAAACTTCAGCTTTCTATAACCTTCAAGAAAATCATTGTTATTTTGCAGATATCAATACAGAAATTTTAAGAGATTTTAATGCTATAAGATGGATGTCTACAGAACAGATTATAATCTTTCCTGTCCTTTTTCCCAAGAGACCCAGGATGGAGCCCTGGTTACTGAGGGCCTCTATCTATGACGTCCCTGGGGTTTAATTCTCACTGGACTCAAGATCCCTGAGGGCATCTGTGTTCTTATGGCCTGGGATGGTGTCTCTACATTAGAGATATTTATCTATCTGTCTATTTGTGACACTGATAGAGAGAGAGCACTCCCATCTGCTGGCCATGATGGCCAGATACCAAGAGTTGGGAACTCAATCTAGGTCTCCCATGTAGGTGGCAGGAACCCAGTTGCCTAAGCCATTACCATTGTCTCTCAGCTTCATCATCAACAAGAAGTTGGAGTCAGGAACCAGAGTCAGGCATCAGACCAGGGTACTCCAATATGGAACAGGGGCCTCTTAACCAATTTTTTAACCATTAAGCTAAATGCCCTGCACCAACAACATTTGTTGAAGCAAGATAATGTAGACTTTTTTTTTTTTTGATGTGATAAACTCAGGGTAAAATTTGGAAAGTAATTATTGTCTGTCCTACACCATCAAGCTCCCCTACTGAGTATTTTGACCTTTCTATAAACTGCCCCTCTTCCTGCCAGCGGGTAGCTGTCTATAGTCATTCTGTCAGTGGCAAAGTGCCACATGACATCAGGCAATTTTAAGTTTATTAATTGTGTAGGTGTCTTCAGTGGCCCCATCCCTCTATTCTAATTTACTGCTTCTAATGTGACATGTATTTCTGCAACTCAGGTGAGTAGTTTATCTAAACCGAAAAAACAAAATTGGTAGGCCGGCGCCGTGGCTCACTAGGCTAATCCTCCGCCTTGCAGCACCGGCACACCGGGTTCTAGTCCCGGTCAGGGCGCCAGATTCTGTCCCAGTTGCGCCCCTTCCAGGCCAGCTCTCTGCTGTGGCCAGGGAGTGCAGTGGAGGATGGCCCAAGTGCTCGGGCCCTGCACACCGTGGGAGACCAGGAGAAGTACCTGGCTCCTGCCATTGGATCAGCGCGGTGCGCCGGCTGCGGCAGCCATTGGAGGGTGAACCAATGGCAAAGGAAGACCTTTCTCTCTGTCTCTCTCACTGTTCACTTTGCCTGTCAAAAAACAAACAAACAAACAAAAAAAAACAAAACAGAATTGGTGCCACTTGAACATATGGCCAAAGTATGGACTGTATATGCTACGTCCATTTCAGCTGACTTCCTCATGGACAAGATGTTGTTGCAGTGGAAAATTGAGGGGTAAAAGAACACAATTATCTGAGAGTCTCTGTGTGGAAAACTTATTTTGAGAAATTGGATACTGACTTGATTCTGTCATTACTATTCTTTCCAGCAAAGTACTGCTTGTGACTCATGAGAAGAGCCTCTATTTACAAATTTTCATTAACATCATGCAAATACAAAGGTCATTTTTTGGCCAGTTTGAAAGAAAAGGTGCTCAATATTAACTTATTACATTTTTAAATGTAGATGTGTAAAGAATGAGTAACTTACTATGCCCTTCAGTCTTGGAATATGCCAGAAAATAATGTGTATAACACTTTGGGTAAAAACAACTTATACAGCTAAGCAAGAAAATGTACAGAAATATTCAACATTCATGCATTAAAAATATATCTTTGTGTGAAATAGGTAGAAAAATTCCAAAAAATCTAGCAGTCTAGTAGCTAGTAGGTAGACATGGGGGCGGTGGGGGGGGGGTGAGCTTTTACAATTTCCTGCTTCCTAGAATGAAGCTTTAGAATATTCTTTACTTGAAAATAATCAATGCATTAAATCATTTTTCATTGTTTTAAGGAACATCATGGTCCATGAAAAAAGCCCATTTCTAGCTATGTATTTTATTTTTTTTGCAGGTATTGTGTTCTTCTCTAAAGCCCTTCAATGCAGTCAAAATCACATTGTTAGCTATAGCATAGTCAAAAAGGATATTTTTGTTGAAATAACCAAATGAAAAGTTCTGCTATATCAAATCACAATGAAATCTTATATGGGGGCAGATGTTATGCCTAGCAGTTAAGTTGCTATGATTCTTGCATCCCATGTCACAGTGCCTGGGTTCAGGTCCTGGCTCTGCTCCTGATTCCAGTGTCTGTTAATATGCACTCTGGGAGGCAGCCAGTGATGGCTCAAGTAGTTTGGTTCTTGCCACTGACTCCTGGCCTGAATTCCTAGCTCCTAGCTTTGGCCTGACCAGACCCTGCTGTTGTGAGAGCGAAACAGCGACGGGAGTGCGCATGCTCTCTTACTCTCCCAAATAAAAAAGGAAATTTTAAAACAACTCTCAAAACAGATATGGCAGAAAATAGGGATGGAAGAAGAAGACATAGGAAAAGGATACTTCTAAAATTAAATCAGGCAGGGGTTGAATGGGACTACAACATTATCTGAACGATGAATTCTGAGTTTAGCAAATGACAAGTGTGTCGGTGCCCAACCAGTGAGTCTCTGGCTCAAAGCTGACGCCCTGGAATCCTGTGACAGGAACTCTGTATTCCTCAGCACATTTTTCAAATGAGAATCATGTGCATACACCCATTCCTCATAAAAAATGAAGATGTTGAACCACAATTCTCCAAAGTCTATTGCAGCTCAGGGTCTGCGATCTTCAAAGAATCACTTGAATCATACTGGAAGCAGAACAAAGTGTTTAAATAAACTTTAAAAATCAAATGTTACACTTGGTCTCATTTCCTGGCAAGGCATCTGATGCTATTTTCCTATATGGAAAAATATTTAGCGTAACATATTATATTTAGTTTTACATAATATTTGAATAATGTACACAATATTTTAATACTAATAATGATACTATAACTAATAGTATCTAGATGTCAACTATTCTTACCACTGTGGAAACTTATGTTTGTACTCTGATATTTACATCATAAACTAGAACGCAACACTTCTCTGTTTTACTAAGGGGCACCAAAAATACTCTTTCTGATGATTTTTCCTGGGCTTGTGGTTGAATAGTCCAGGGTGTAGAGAGAACAGTCTGACATGTCCACTATATCTCTACCAAAAGAAGGAAAGGTAAAACAGATCCAAGGTCGGCAAAGGTCTTATAAATGTGAAACTATCTTTCAACAAAGATTCGTTGGGTTTGAGAAAGAAGCAAACGGGAAGGCAAATTCTCTTAGTATTTAAGAGCATGTTAAAATGATATATGATCCCTAAATCAAATCTGTATGTATCTGGTTGCCTTGATGCAGTACAGACAATCCTGGGGTGTTCCTACTATGCCTGGAAGGGACATCTGTCACTCTGGCTGGCTGGCTCCAAGCACAAGTTCATCATGAGGCTGCCTCTGTAAATAGAATTTCTGCTAGAAGGGCCTGAACAGGGAGACCCAGCTCTACAAATGCCATAGCTTTTCAGAGAGATGGCACTGCGCCAGAGGGGGCCGGGAGTAACCCTTAGCCTGCTCCACTTGGGCTTCCAGTAAATATAGAGTTGGACCATCGCTGCAGGGAGAGAGATGACTGGCAAGACAAAGGCACACAAAAGGAGGGAGGACGAGGAACAAGTGCAGGAGGAGGAGGGATGGAAGGAGGAGAGAAGGAAACAGATATCCGATAACTCCAGGGAAAGATTATTTTAAAAAAAAAGTGTTTCCGTTGTCATAAACACACGTTTTACAGTCTTGGGGAAACTAAAGCACTTTGACTATTTTCTTTAACAAGACCTGATGGCAGTGTCAGCTGCGGGACTGGAATCAGGAAAGGCCTTTCCATACACAGGGGTCTACACCGCGGGTCCGACCCTGAAGGAGTTCACATGGCTCCAGCCCAACGTGACTCTCCCAGCAGAACCTCTACACCCCTGCAGCACACTAACACCAGAGTCGTCCCCAGCTCTTCAGTCCTGCCTCCGGCCCGGTGAGCAAAATCCAAGGTGGCCAGCCCTACTCTCCTCCTCTCGCACTTCCTTTCCAGGGGAGTTCTTGCCTGCACCAGCCTGGGGGCCCCCCAAAAGGCAGGCCTGTGGGAAGGGGAGCGTCAAGCTAGAACACTGTTCAAGCTTGGTCACCCACACGTTAGCCCATGCCTTAGCACTGCGTGATAACATTTGGTATTTGCCAGGCCCAGATTACGTAAACTGGGCCTGAACAGAAAGTTCAAGAAGGTCTCCCACCTCCTTTTCTACCGCTCCCTTTCCTGTGGACTTACTGCGTGAAGAACTCATAAACACATTGCTTGAAATGGAACTCACTCTGAAATCGTGGGTACCCTTGAGCTCTGCTATCAACGCCCAGTCAAGAATTAAAGACCTGTTCTATCTGCGTTTGTTTCTCCAGGACAGGAAGCCTTGGAATAAAAAGCCTAGGTAGTGACAGCTGGCGGCTGTGGCTCGGTGAGCATCCAGGGGCTGGAGCTGTTTACAGCGGAGGGGGAGGGGGGGAGCTGTGCCCAGGGGGTGCATGAACGTAGAAGAGCACTTCTATGTGTTCTTTCTTTTTCTCCAGGAGTTCTCTAACCAGAAAAGCCACTCAGCTTAAGTCTACATGAAGCCAACCACTCGACTTGGGAGATAAGAGTTTGTAGCCTCGGAAGCAAAGAGCCTGCTCCCCTGCCTTCCGCACCCCCTTCACCGTGAGTCAATGGTACTTAAATAGAATCTCAGCAGGCTGGAGCTGGCTGCCACGGGCCAGTGTCACCCTCTCCTCTGTGCCCTGGAAGACTGGATCCACTCAAGCAAATGACTGCCAACAGCGTTTGAGGGGGGACAGGGGACGGGAAGCAAACATCAAACCACCAAATACGAGCAACGACAGAAAACTGTCACGCTCCACGCTAGGCTTTTCTATGTGTTGACAACACATTAATGTCAAAATTCCGGCGCTCCCAGGCTAGTGTTTGGTCAAGGACAAGGTGGAGGGGAAAGGCTCGGACCCATGGCGCATGTGTCATGTGGCGTGTGCAGGTGTGTGTGGGGGTGCGCACACTGGAGGCTGCGGAGCAGCTTCTGGGACGCATCAGGCTCACGGTCCCCGCACCTCGTGGATCTCATCTCTTGTGCTACAGTACTCCAGGCTGCGGGACAGGGTCCGCGCCCGCTCCTCGGCTCGGGCGGTCCAGACCCTGCTGTCCTCCCCCAGGCTCTCCAACTGCTGCTGCAGCTTCTTCGCAGAGACATTGGAGCAGTTCTGCAAACGAAAGACAAGCGGAAGTCACAAAAGGAAGGGGAGAAACAACGAGACAAGCACGCTGTTCACCTGCATGATGCAACTCCTACACGACACTTTTGGAGAAAGACCCAGGTCCTGCTGTATGTTACCTTAAACATACTGGAATGCAATTATCTCAAAAAGAAGCCAGACACCAACATTACGGAGAGCCATTTCTAGTCTCGAAGCTCGGTTTTAAAGATCTGCTCATCACACCCCACTCCTGGGAGACACCATTCATTATAACATATAATTTTTCTTCAAAAGGCATAAAATATGCATTAGAAACATTTGGCGTCTGCCCTGTAATTTTCCTGTCGACTTGAGCTTCACCTCAGGTTCATTATGCAAGTGCTCCAGTCTCTGCTCTGCGCACAGGGGCTGCTGGGGTGAAGGCAGGACAAGGATTGGAGAACAATTTACATTATTTGTGCAAAGTGAGATTTCTGACTTTCTTCTTCCATTTTAAAATAAATTGACTAATAACATAAAACTCCAGAGAAAGAAAGCTCCTTCCTGGCACAAGTAGAATCTATTAACTACAACAGATACTCTGTAATTTGGTATCTTTCAGCTTAAAGAAAAAGACTTTAGGCTCACTGAATTCCATATAATTTAGTGGATCTCTTAAATGAGCTTTAAAATAAAATTGGCCGCTATGATTTTATTAATGGTATGTATACTGATCAAATAAACATAATCTGCTCTCTCCACAAGGAGGGCTTTTTAAAAACCAGAGCCCAGTATACTATTTATGGAAATCTGATCTGGAGATATGCCTTCTCTCTCAGGCTCCTCTGTGGAAGTCTGTCCAGCAGCATTAAGCAGATCCAATGACTGCTGCCCAGTGCCGCAGCTGGAGCCAGGGGACAGAGGCTCCTCCTCTCCCAGCTTTTAGGGATCAGGCAGCCAGCTTCTCTCAGCCTCCAGTGAGAGTCCTGGCTCAGTAAGCCCCAAGTTTCAGCTGATTTTTCAGATCTGCAACTCTAAAGCAGTACTGTCCAACAGACACATAAGGAGAGCCACAAAAACCCACCGAAAATTTTCCAGTAGTTGTAGAAAAAGGAAATAACAGGTGATGAATCCCACATGTTGAAGAGTTATCTGAGCGTTCATGTTTACTGCAGCACTATTCACAACAGCCAGGGAATGGAAATAGCCAAGTGTCTATCCACTGGCGAATAGATAAGAAAACGTGGTACAGATAGCCACAGGAATATTACTCAGCCATGAAAAAGGATGAAATCATGTCATTTGCAAAATCATGCACAAACTGAAGGTCCTTGGCTATAATAAGGCAAACACAGAAACATAAGTACCACGTGATCTCACTCGTATGTGGAGTCCAGAAAAAACAGGTGTTCTCATAGAAGTTAAAAATATAACTGTGGTTATCAGAGGCTGAAGCAGGAAGTGAGGAAAAAAAGGACTGGAAAAAGCTGATTTATGGGTACTAAATAATAACCAGATAGGAATAAAAAGTTATAGGGCTCTATTGCACAGTAGGGCAGAGATAAATAATACTAATTTGCTATATATTTGTCTCTAAAAAATCCTAAAAGGGATTGGGGTTTTTTCATTATAAAGAAATGTTGAGTGCTTGAAAAGATAAATATATTTACCCTGACTGGGCATTCCACATGTATACATATAACAAAATATCACAAAGGATCCCACAAATATGTATGATTTTTATATAAAAATTTTTAACAAAAAAATTAAAAACAGGTGAAATTAACAAATGATACAGTTTAAACAAATATGTTCTGATATCATTCTAGCATGTTACCAATATACAAATAACACTAAGATTTTTTCATATCCTTTGAAATTGGGCTTACTTGTATATTTTATACTTTGAGTGTATCTCAGTTGTTGCTAAGTTTTCATCAAAAGTATTTGATCTGTATTTAAATTTCATAAAATTCAGCTTCAAAAATAGAATCACATATTCCAGTTGATCCTAACATGAGCTTTCAATAACTATATTGAAGATCAGTTTTTAGGTTTAAATTTAAATTAATCCAAGCTTAATAAAAATTAAAACCTTAGTTCCATAGCTGTATTAGAAACATTTCACTGCAAAAAAACAAACTGTCACCCGCGCAGCTCTACAATAAAAGGACTCTCAAAAATCAGCAATGACAATAGATGGGTTAATGAAGAGTTTCATATTTTTGATTTTTTTTTTCTCTTGGCATAAGTAGTAGAAACTCACCCTAAACGACTATCTCAGTGATTGAATGGGTTTGTGATTAACAGGCAGTCTGATTATTCCCTTGCACTTACAGCACAAGCCTCAGTTAGAATTAGGCATGGGGTGGGCGTTTGGCTCAGTGGCTAATCAGCAGCAGTGAAGGTGCCGCTTGGGATGCTGGAGGTTAAGTCTCAACTCAGTTTCCAAGTCCAGGTTCCTGCTGTGCACACCCTCTGAGTCCCCGTCACTCACAGGAGAGCCCTGCACTGTGTTCTGGACTCTTGGCCCCAGCCTGGCCCAGCCAGGGCTACTGCAGGCATTTGAGAAATGAAGCAGTGGAGGGAAGATCTCTTCAGTGTCTCCGCCTTTAGAAGGAAACAAGCAAACAAACAGAATCGAAAGCATTAGGCTCCAAGATGCTTACAGGCCACTGCACTGCTGAGATGATGCCCACTCCTAAGGAAAGCGCCAGCTTGTGGAGACTGTCCACGTGGGCCTGCTTCTCCTGAGAGCGGCCAAGGTGAACCCGGACACCGTGTGCGTCATCCAAGTCCTTCAGCTGCCCCGGCAACTCGTCCTCTCCTGAACTGATGAGACGCCCCAGCTGGAATTTAGGGCATTGACAGTTAACCTGGGCTCCATAGGAAGGCAGTTTAAAAAAAAAAAAAACTATTCGCCATAACATTTCACTAGCTGGTTGAAATGCTGATAATTCCATCCACAATTATTACTGTTACAGCTAATATATGTAAATCCAATAGGGTAAAATGGAGCAGCTAACACTGTTTGTTCTATTAATAAAGAAAACACTCTTCGGAGCATAGCCTAAAACTTTAGCAAGATCTTGGCCTGTGACCTAAGGAAATTCAGAAGCTATGTTACAGGGATGTCAGTACCTCCCCAGTTTATGCTAAAAGAAGCTAATAACTATGATGTTTTTGTAATAAAATCAACTAACAAATAAGATACACTGAGCACATCATGATGTCAAGTACTTGAGACTTAGAAAAATTGGGATTGTTTTCTGCCTCTCAAGAGTTTACACTTGGGAGGAGAGTGGAAGAACATTATATTAATTAAAAAATAATTAAGATCAAGATGCTAAAAGTGCCAGATGAGTGCAATAAACAATGAGAGCTCTAGGAATTCAGAAAAAGAAATAAATCACTCCAATGAGGAAGGACTGTTGGAGGGAGGCATAGGGTTTAGGTAACAAAGAGACACCTGTAGGATGCCGGCAGCTTGGAGTTAGGAGTGCGTGTACTTTCTCTGAGGGACAAAGAGCTCGTGGTTGCAACATAATACAGGCTAGAAGCACAATGCAGGCAAAATTAGAGGCTGGGTGGTGTCAACTTCTAGTTCCTGAATAACCAATGTGGGCTTTCTTTATTATATAAGGATTATTTCTTCAATCCCAGGATCTTTCAGACATCCACCGTAAGCCCTACCTCTTCCTTGACTCGGTGGAACTGGACTGTCTTGTACAGGATGACCTCGTAAGCTTGGATTCTCTCTCTCTGTTTCTGGTGGAGGTGGACAAGGTCCTTCAGCTGCTGAGACTTCTCTCTCACGGGGGCCCCTTTGCCACTCAGTTCTTCTGATTCATTCATGATGTACTGAACTTCATCATCCAGTTGCTAAAATATTGAAAGCAATAAAAACAGCCCAGCGTTTACAGTGTTTACAAGTCCACGTATTGTGCTTGAAGATATGAATACATTTTTTCCATCTTCTAAGAAATAAATAAAAATTAAGCAGTGAGTTTTCAAGCTAAATGGCAAAGTGGAAAGTCATATGGTCCTAAGTCACAACAAATATTCTGGTCATCTGTGAAGTAAATATATTTTAGATGGTTTAGGAAGCCCTGTGGTCATCTCTGATATCTACTACAGTCTAGAATCAGGTGTTACGGAAACAACATGAACAGAAGACAAGGGTAAAAATATAGTAGGGGGATTACTTGTGCTCTGTGCTGCAAGAATGATCAGAATGAACCATCAGCTGCATGGCTCAGTAGATACACTGCCTTCAATGCAGCCGGCCCATCATCCACAAATAGCTACCGCGTTTGGGGAAGGATAAACTGCCTTCCACTTGACCCAGCCCTGCTCTCACATCCCCTAACGGAATCCAGATTTGGGGTTGGAACTGGGAAAGAGTGGATGGCTTAAAAAGGCTGCTACTGTAATTTCAGGGATCAATCTTGTTTATAAAAGGTAAAGGTAATGGTAATTATTTAGACTAAAAAGTTAATTTTCATAGAGTGACATGAAAAGACCCCTTTAAGTTCAAATTGAGCATGTGGGAATCAAACATACGCATGTAACAGTGATGGAGTTAAGTGCATCTGGTCATGGTCCTGACTTAGAGGAACTTAGCATGCCTAAACGCATGCAACCAAGTAAGGCATATCGAAAAAGTTAATGTAGGCTAATCAAGTTTCCTGAGAGCTCTCTGGGTGGCTATAATGTGTGTATGTGTGTGTGTGTGTGTGTGTGTGTGTGTGTGTAGCAGGGGTAGCGGTTGTATTCCACACCAATTTCATCTTAAAGGAAACTAAAAGGAATTAGACTTCCCCCAGGACTCTTCCATCAGTTCTGAGACCCTTTAAAGCCAACACTTATGAAATAGTAGCAGAGAGAAACACAGGAATCTTAATTTTGCAGCAAAGATCAGGAATCTAGGTTGGCAGACAACGTGACAGGTAATGCATTGTTGACAGCTATGTGAAGTTTAGGAGAAGCGGGAAGTGAGAAACAGGCAATGTGTTCGGCAGTCAGGAACACGATTCATGCTTTTGCGTCCCATATCCTTCGTGAGGACTTTCTGAGAGGGTGAATGAGGAGCACAGCAACATTCCTGCCATGGTGACAGGAGTCTGGGGTGCCTGTCGATAGGGACAGTGACGTCACTGGTGATTTCAGGGACCAAGGGCAGCAGAGCCCCTGGGCCAGAGGCTGCTCATACATGTTCTGAGTTGTCCCAATTTAAAACACATCTATACACCCCAAGTAAATAATTACACCCAATAACATGCTAATTATATTAATAATTTGATTTAGAATATAGATTAAGATGATCTAAGATACATACATATTCAGGACATTTTATAGTCTGAATGTTGTATATCATCAAACATAGGAGAGGGCAGGAAAACAGTAAGAAAAATGTGTCTTTACACTAGATTTTTCGACTTTCATTTAAAAAAAATAGCAATTTCCCCAGTCTGTTAAATTAAGTAAACTGCACAGCTTTACGCTTTCACCATTCACCCAAGTCCATCAATTATTTTCTGTCTACCTGGAACTGAGGCTTCATTTCATTCCATTTTTGACGTAGATCTAGAATGGTCTGGAGGCTCCCTCCAAGGTCAAGTGCAGACACGGGCATAAGTACTTCCTCGAGAAGTTTTAAGTTGTGTGCAGTCTGGAATAAACATTGGGTAGTTATGCATGCGTTTCCTTTGCTTGCCCTCCCTCTCTCCGACAATGATGACAGTGAGGGTCATCCAGCATGCAACCCCCATGAAAATGTTCACAACCTGCAGGAAGTTCATGGCGCTAAACCTGCCCGAGAATAAAAGCACAGGCCCTTGGTTCCCCGTACCTTTCCTGTTTTTAATTATAAATAAATATATATAAATTTTTTACTATTTTAAATGTACATAATAAATACCTGTTATTATGAGATTCAGTGGCATTGATACATTCATATTATTGGGAACCATCATCATTATCTATTTCAGGAACTTTCTTATCAACTGCAACAGAAACTCTGTACCTGTTAGACAGTAACTCCACATTGCTTCCATCCTCCAATCCCTGGTAATGTCTATTCTGCTCTCGGTCTCTATGAATTTGACTACAGGAGCCTCATTTTAGGAGAATCACATCATATTTTCCCTCTGGGTCTAACTAATTTTACTTAGCATAGTGTTTCAAGATTCACTCATGCAGCAAGCATCAGAATTTCATTCTTTTTGAAGGACAAATAACATTCCACTGTATATTCCCTTACAGTGTTGTCTTAACTATTTTTGACACATAAGTGTACATATTTATGGGACACAATGTGATGTTTCATGTTTATATTATATAATGATCAAATCAGCAATATGGATTACCATACATTTTATCATCTCTTTATGTTAAATACATTTAAAATCTTCACTTTAGCTATTTTGAGATATGCAATGCATTCTTGTTAACTCTAGCCACCCTACTCCTCAATAAAACATTAGAACTTATTCCTCCTGTTTAACTGTGACATTAAATCTGTTGACCAACCTCTCCTCACGTCCTCTGACTCCCTACCCTCACAGCACCTGGTAATCACTCTCTCAACTTCTATGAGATCAACTTTTTCAGGTTCCACAGGAGTGAGATCATGCAGTACTGGCATTATGGATGAGAGTCTTAAATGTCAGATATGAAACTAGCAGAAGAAAACAGTGCTTCGGGACATTAGCCCGGGTAAAGATTTTGTGGATATGAATTTAAAAGGACTGGGGCCCAATGCTGTGGCACAGCAGGTAAAGCCACAGCCTGCAATGCTGGCATCCCACATGGGCACTGTTGGTGTCCCGGCTGCTACACTTTCAATCCAGCACAATGCTAATGTTTGGAAATTGCCACACAGGTGGAGACACAAAAGAAGCTCCTGGCTCCTGACTTTGGCCTTGCCCAACAATGGCCATTTTGGCCATGTGGGAAGTGAACCAGTGGATGGAAGATCTCTCTGCTGTCTCTCCCTCTCTCTAATTCTAACTTTCAAACTAAATAAATCTTTAAAAAATGATCTTATAAGGACTGCAACTGAATAGCAAGGAAAACAAATACAATGAAAAGTAGGCGGAAGACCTGTATTGACACTACTTAGAAGAAGACATACAATTGGTCAAGAGATGTAAGTATATAAAATGATGCCCAACAACCCTTACCCTTTTAAGCTTGTCTTTAAATATTGCCCACTGCTGTTTCAAAGGCTTGCTTTCAGTGGATTTCCGTTGCCAGGCCATCCGACAGTGACTAAGTTCTTCCCTTGCTGCTTTCTGGTTTTCCATGGTGTTCTCTATAATGTTCACTTCATGCTTCACATTGAATATCTCATTCTCCTTTGCCTGTAAAATTATAATTCATACAATGACTTTTCTTCCCAATCAGCACAATAATTTTTCATATAACTGTTTTAGAAGGCAAACAGTTCATCATATCCAAAGCAGAGCACTGTTCTGCTACCCAACAATGTCTGAATTCCTTGTGCAGAGGCAGAGTTAGACTCTCAGAACCTACATTCTGTACGGGGACATCAGATCCTGGGTTAGGGCCGGAGTTGTGGTTGAGTTGTCATGTAGGGTATGGCTATATCCTGTGGTTGGAAGGTGATTTAATGAGCTCTAGGATCCAGAAAGTTTGGAGTGAAGATTTCTTGGTTTATGCATAAATTTTGAAGTAGTTTCCACCTTTTAACACACCCAGTAGAATATGTATAAGGAACAGGCAGAAACCAATTGTTCTGGAAGTGTTTTTTTCCTTTAAACTTCAAGTATTTTGTATATTACAGTTACTTTATATTTTCCTTGCACTGCCTCAATCTCCTCCATTTTATGATGACTGAAATATTGTCTGTTTCTCTGTATTCATAACTCTGCCATGTACCAGAAGCACAATAGCTAAATTCAGGACTTTACGTCTCAACTTTCATATGTTCTGGCTGATCAGTTCGAAAACCTTTAAACAATGGTTTTAAAAAAGGAAAATTCTACTGGCAGCAAAAGGACAGAATGGTAAAGAATGGAACCAATGTTTTATGTCCAATTAAACATTAAAAAATGCACAAGACTTTTATTTGCCAAAACAACGAACTTTTTACTTTCATAGTAGCCTTTCTCAATAAATCCTCAAATTTCTAATGGATTTCTATAATTATAATGACAGCTGATGACAGTCATAAGTTCATAACAGGATATTTTAGATGTTGGATAATTTATTTTTAAATTATTTTAGACATTATTGCACATTTACATTTCTATTGAATTCTAGACATTACAAAGTAGTTACTCATTGCACAAAAATGTAAAATTGCAGGTCCTAAATGATGGAAGCTAGTAATAAAATTATATATTCCATAATTATGATTAGTAAGATCCAATGAATTATGAAAGATAATAACTATAGCAGGACCCACCCCAAATTATACTTTTTAATCTATGTTATAAATAAATGTAAGAAATCTTTCATGTATTAAGAAACTATTAACAAAATATATATTTCTAATATATCATATTAAACAACAATATAAACTTGGAAATTGCAGTATGTCAATGACAACCACAACTGGAAGGGTATGGTGGTCTGCACAAGATCTAGAAAAGGGACAGCAGTGGTAGGATTTGTCAATGTCTAGCCAGAAGACTCTAAGAAAAGTGATCATGTGTTTGGCAAACTTAAGTGTGTTGGCCACTTAGGAAGATTAAATAATTTGCTGGAGGTTTAGTTAGTAAACACAATATTCATTTAGTTCTGTATAGGGCATGGGAAATGTTGCCAGGAGCCAATCTAAATGGGCCACTAAACTATCCATTTTCCATATAGAATGATGCACAATGAAAGGTCTTCTGATGTGTTTCCAGATACCTCGACAACACAAAGTCTGTATAGCAAACAACATTCAGTATTCACCACTGTAAGTTAATAAACTGTCGCTTTACCAAGATGTCTGCCAGAATTATACCCAGAATCAATGATTTTGATGATTTTTAAATGAAATGAAAAAATTTTAAATTTCAAGCTTGAAAATAGGAGCTGTGGCAACCTAATCAAGAGCAGAACACTCAACTGCATATGCCAGCTGGCCCCTTCCCTCCAAACAACCAAACTGGTTACTGCGTTTCCACATAATGTTTGTTCAAAAATCTAATGGTCCAAAAGACATGCGGAGAATAAAAATGTGCTTTACTTGCTTTGCCAACAACTTCACATCTCAGAATGTCACTAAACCAACAAAACTAACTATTTTGTGGGCTTTAATTTTTGTCCATAAGGACAAATTTATCATGTGACTATGGTAATGACCTTCAGTAAAGATAATCATGTTTTGATATCAAGCTAAAGGACTACCAAAGCATAATAATAAATAAACACAGTTCTTAGAGCCCTATACTTATTTTGATGTATATACAGAATATGATATATTTTTTTTGATAGGCAGAGTGGACAGTAAGAGAGAGAGACAGAGAGAAAGGTCTTCCTTTGCCATTGGTTCACCCTCCAATGGCCGCCGCCGCCAGTGCGCTGCGGCCGGTGCACCGCGCTGATCCGATGGCAGGAGCCAGGAGCCAGGTGCTTCTCCTGGTCTCCCATGGGGTGCAGGGCCCAAGGACGTGGGCCATCCTCCACTGCACTCCCTGGCCACAGCAGAGAGCTGGCCTGGAAGAGGGGCAACCGGGACAGAATCCAGCGCCTCAACAGGGACTAGAACCCGGTGTGCCGGCGCCGCAAGGCAGAGGATTAGCCTAATGAGCCGCGGCGCCGGCCCAGAATATGATTTGCAAGGGGTTCCTGTTACAGATATTTAAAAAGTGAACATTGTATTGTATAATCTTAAATATTCTAAATAAAGTAATAAAGGACTTCTAGGGAGGATGGAATAGCTGTGACAGAGCAGTGCTTGTGCTTAGAGCAACTAGAGAAGCTGGGCAAATGCTAAAAGCATCCATTTGGAGGCTGCAGAGAGCTGGCTATGCAAGCACTAGAGAGGCCAAGACTGCGGGGAGGGAAGAACCTGTGAGCTCCCCGATCACCACTTTCCCCAGGGCACTTCCCAATGCAGTGCACTGACAGGAGGCTCTTCTGAAACAGAAAACAACAGATCTTCTGGCAGACGGATGATCTTCTAAGGACATAGGAGCCAACACTCTGGGGCTACATGGAGCAATGGATTAAAAATACTAAGCAAAAAATCTCTGAAACACACAGTGGAGTTTTGCATTTGTCTCCTACAACCAAGCTCTGAGTTTGGGACCTGTCAGAGGCAGAGGCATAAGAGGAAGCAGCAAGCTCTCAGATGAAGACAGAGATGGAGGTGGACAGAGTAGACTGAGCCTAGTCAGGACCACACTGAAGTCCCAACTCTGCCAGCTGCTGGTTGGATTAACTTATCTCCCGCCAGAGCCTCCCTGGAGGAAGAAGGGTGCCCCTTTCTAGAAGATAGCACCATCTAGGCCTCCACAGTTTTTATCTACGTAATGCCTTGGCATTTGATAATAGTCACTGGTCCTGCCTTTTGGAATAATAATAATAATTATTATTATTATTGCTTCTCATGCAACTAGAAACCATGAGAACAGGTAGACAATAGAAGCAGCTCCTTGTCCAGGTGATGGAGTGGGCTGACAAGCACTTTAAAACACCCAGAAGTAAATATGGCTCAAGAAAGTATAGCCAAGGTGTAGGAGAGAAAAGAAAGAATTTCTGCAATAGCTTAAAGCTAATGAAGAAACAGCCAACTGGAAATTTCAGAACTGAAAAATAAAATTTCAGAAATATAGTAATAAAAAGGATAGACCAAAAAATGCAGTTTCACAGACTTGAATCCTCTTATAAAATTAGAAATTATACAATCAAGTGATAGAAGAAATTCTTAAATAAGAATGTTAGAGTTAGATGGTAAATGATAGATCAAGATATATGTTCTAAATGTTCTAAAATGAAAAATAATGTGATTTTTGAAAATAAACCATCTAATATGTAAACATAGGTACATTGCTTAACAAATTTTATCTGATGCTTAAGAATAGAATCAGATAAATTAGAACCGTTTAACGTGCACTGTGCTTAAGAGTGGTCTTCAAATAACAAAAATCAAAACAAAGAAGATAAAGAGATAATTATAGCTCAAAAGAAATAAGGATAGTTAGAATCTAACTCTTCCAAATGAATTCAGTCTCCAGAAAGATTAGTCACCTCCCAGATACCAAGAAAACTGCAAATATCAGTTATCTTTTAAAATACACACACACCAGAAGGGACAGAAAAATTAGAATAAGGAAAATGCTTTTCCAATGATTTTCACAAGGGAAGAAAGGATGGATTATACAATTTACACATTGGTTAATTTCATGTTGAAAACGAGTATAATAAGTTTATCACTTATTAAGCACTTTGTAGGCATTTTTGGAAAGATTGCTTTGATCACTAGCAGTCAACCTGACTCATGCCGAAAACATTTATGTAATTGTAGGCTTCGAGGTAGGTGGAATATCCATTGAGCAGTTTATTTGAAAAAGCTTCCCATTTTAGACTTTAAAAGATTATTAAGTGGTGGTTGAATTAAATTACTATTGGGAGCATACATGACTGTTTAACAAACTGGTTACTCAGTAGATTGCTTCATGCATTGGAATATCAATCTCTCCATTAGGCAGTTTTACTGAGAAAATAATTGCAGCCACAGAGGGCCTACTTGTCAAAGCTACAGAATTAAGCCCAGGAGAGTTTGAGGAAAAAACTAACCCAAATCAGTTTAAGAAAATGGAGTCATGGGTGAAGATTAACAAAACAAAATTAAGTAACAATAAAGACACACTGTATAAAAAAAGGTGAATATCTGACACTCACGTGATATGGGAGAGACCTGGCTTAGAAGAAGTGGCAATAAAACAGTTACATGAGTTCCATACAGTCATAACTTTACTATGAACCAGCTAAGTGTGGGGAGCAACCCGGACTGGACTGAGTTACTGGAATTAAGACTTATTCTATGCATCTGCTCTCCCACAATATGGCGCTGGGAGAGAAGAAAACAGCTTCTACGCAGCTGCCTCTTGCCAACTTGAGTGATGACCTCCAGGAGCTGATCCTGCTCCTGATTGGAGGAGAGCAGCGTACTCGGCGTGTGGGCAGCCGAGTTGGGATTGGCGGAAGAGGACTATAAAGGAGGAGAGAGACGGCATGCACCAGGAACATCTAAGGGGAACATCTAAGAGGAACACCTGTGCAGCCCCCGAGAGAGCCGGCCGGCGGTGCGCCGCTCCCCCGCAGAAGTGGGGAATGTGGCAGGGGGAACCGCCCTTCCACGGAGGTGGAAGGGACGGTAGCCAACCCAGGAAGAACCAGCAGCAAACCCGGGGAGGGCCAAGCAGACAAAAGAACAGCGCAGGGTCCTGTGTCGTTCCTCCACGAAGACGGGGAGCGACATAATGGTGCCGTGACTCGGATATGAAGCCTAGGCAGGGTTTAGTGTCGTTCCTCCATGAAGAGGGGGAGCGACAGCTAAGTGAAATTATTGCTAAAAATGTTAGCATAATCTGAGGCTGGCATTATGGCACAGTGGGTTAAGTCAGAGCTCTTGATGCCAACATCCCATTCGGAGTGTCAATTGGAGACCCGGCTGTTCCACTTTTGATCCAGCTCCCTGTTAATGTGTCTGAGAAGACTTAAGATCTTAATCCTGTACTTGGACTCCTGCCACCCATATGGGAGACCAGGATAGAGTTCCAGGCTCCTGGCTTCAGGCTAACCTGCCCCAGCCATTGAAGTCATTTGTGGAGTGCACCAGTGGCAGGAATCAATCAATCAATCAATCAATCTCTCTCTCTCTCTCTAATCTGCCTTTCAAATATTTTTAAAGAGCTTTATAGAAAGAGTTAGTATAATCTTAGTTCTCATTAGTGAAGAATTATGTTCAGTTTATTGTGGTGCTTTATTTTTTGGCTACATTTTATAAATTATTTTCACAAACCATGGAAAATTCCGGGAGGGGGAATCAGGATGGAGACAGAAATTAGGCTAGCTGATAAATAACAGAAAGGATGTGTGTGTGTTCAGTTGCTGAAAAGACTTACTAGACACAGAAACTTTTTTGAATGTTGGAAGGCATTTTCTGCATAAGAGAAGTCAAAACAGAATATCTTCATGTCCTCAGAGAGCTTCAGAGTGTTAGGACCAGATGAGAAGATGGCTTTACTGAACATAAAAATCTTTTCTAGCAGCTGGCATTTTCCAATAATGAAATGAGCGGCTTCATTAGGAAGATTCTTGAGGTATTGCAAGAAAGCAGATTAACCATCTTTCAAGAATTTTATGGGATAATTTTACATGTGTCAGGGGATATAAGGATTCTAGGATATTTTATAAATAACTACTCAGGACAATTTAAGTTTAGGATATCTTTCTACATGCAATAAAGCTTCGCCATAAAAGCATCAACTCTAGTTAAGAAGTTCTTCAAAATAAAGATTCATGCTAGAAGTTGCCTTAAGCCACTGAAATTTTCCAAGGAACTTGCTGGATGCTTTCAACTCGGAACTTTAAGGTGGACTTCGAGGACTCTGTGCAATAATAACACTTTTGCAATTGGATCATGGCTGCTCTTTCTTCTTAACAGTGCAAATAGCCTTCATATTATAAACCAACAAGGACTTTAGGAACAAGTCAGCATATAAAAGCTGGTCTTAACAACTGGGCTAGGTTGAATAAAGCTAAAAAGAGCTTCTTAAGCCAGCTGCTGATCAAGAGAGTTGACTTTCTGAATTTATAACTTTGACTTTGATAGGTAATCCTCACAGAAGGTGTGACTCATTGAAAGTCATTCTCACCATATTTATTAAATTCAGGACCTCAAGCCCTAGGTCTTGGGTGAAAAAACTCTTCTTTAAAAATAGATGCCACTGCTTCTCAGACCAGTTCTTGGTGTTAACGTCCTCATCTTCCTTCTGAGAGATTTCATTTTGATAAAACTCCTTTAGGCTCTGAAAATGCACCTCTACCTAAAAAAGGAGAATAAAATGAGAGTTTAAAACACTTAAAAATATTTTTAAAGAAAAAAGAACACTAGATACCAATAAATAGACCTGCACAAAATTAATTCAAAATTACATTTTCAGAATTCTTTAATTATTGAATATTGTCAAGTGACTGAAAAGCCATGAAAATCTATTTAGATTGTTGACAGGACTATCACTGTTCGAAAACTGAGCTGAGAAGTGTATTACTCATAAGAACAACTTATTATAGCCCAGATCATGTTTATATATTATGTTTTGTAATTTGGGACAATTTATGTCAAAGACCAAAGCTGAGTTTTATCATTCAGAAGAAAGACACATATGAGGGTACTTCAAAAACTTCATGGAAAATGGAACTCAAAGGTATGCCTGTGTATACAGAATTTTTTTTTACATTCAAGCATAATGGGGATCTTCAAAAGTTCATGAAAATGAATATTATTGAAAAAATTATGCATGGATTTCCATATTGTCCAATGGTTTACAAATTTTATTTTACAAAATCAGAGAATATAATTCAGAAAGAAGCATGTCAGTGAAAGATTACTTGCAATTTGTATATCATAATTTCTTTTTTTTTTTTTTTTGACAGGCAGAGTGGACAGTGACAGAGAGAGACAGAGAGAAAGGTCTTCCTTTGCCATTAGTTCACCCTCCAATGGCCGACACGGCCAGCATGCTGCGGCCAGCGCACCACGTTGATCTGATGGCAGGAGCCAGGTACTTATCCTGGTGTCCCATAGGGTGCAGGGCCCAAGTACTTGGGCCATCCTCCACTGCACTCCCTGGCCACAACAGAGAGCTGGCCTGGAAGAGGGGCAACCGGGACAGAATCTGGCGCCCGACTGGGACTAGAACCCGGTGTGCCGGCGCCGCTAGGCGGAGGATTAGCTTAGTGAGCTGCGGTTCTGGCCCATAATTTATTTCTAATAAGTGATAAACCATAAAAGGATACAAATATTTAATAATTTTCTTCATAAGTAATACTATTAAACTGCCTCCATGAGCTAACCTAAGATATATTACTTTCCCTACTTAGAATTCTCATTTCTCCCATTCTACTCAATGCAAGTACTACTAGAGTATATTAACTCTGCTCAAGGATTTAAAATAAAATCAAATAAGTCAGTAAAACCTTACATTAACACATAATTGGATGATGTAGAAATAGTAAAAATCATTTCTCATAAATGGTTATGCAGTTTGAATAATATTCAATGGCTGATAGAACAAGACTCAAAGAGTTCTTAATGGCCAAAAGCACTCTAAACAGAGTAAGACATTTCCAGCAATAGTCAGTCACCATACTTTCAAAATTGTAATATCATTCTTAATTTAGATAAACTTAATAGGAGAGCCTACAAACCACTTTCAGAAACAGTTCTGGTCTCATTTCCATACTCCAGTTATTCAGGCCTCTGTTTTGCTAATGCTTGTTCTCTCCAAACCAGGATGACCATTCCTCAGTTTTCTTCTCCTATTTATCCTTCATGAATTAGTTAAAATGCCACCTCCTCCATGGAGCCTTGTAAAATTCCCTAGCATGAATTATTCATGGAATGGATGTTTGGTCTAGTGGTTAAAATACTAATAATGATGTCTGCAATCCAGATTGGTAGCCATGTTCAATCCCTGGCTCCTGATTCCAGCTTCCTGCTCATGCAAACCCTGGGAGGCAATGGTGGAAGTGCAATAAATTAGGTCACTGCCACCTACGTGGGAGACTTGGATTGAGTTTCTAGTTCCCAGCTTCCACTCAGCCCAACTCCAGTTGATGCAGTAGATGGGAATTCTCTCCCTCTCTAATAAATAGTAAAGTTTTAAGGAAAAAAAGAACGAATCACTTTTTTCCCCAAGAAGCCAACGGTGGTTCCGTAAGAAAATGAAACATAAGAAGCTAGTATAACAGAAAGATAAGTATGCACACAATGTTATGGGCACACTGTGGAGAGACCACCAACTCTACATGGAGTGAGTGGGGAAGGACTTCCCAAAGGAAGTGACATTTGTTCTGAGTCTTGAAGAACTGTCCTTGTGAGAGGGAGCTGAAGAGGATTCCAGATGGCAGGAGTAACAGTGTGAAAGCACAAGTGTGAAAACACTGGCTGGTTCCGAGGACCAGAAATGACTGTTCTGTGGGTGAAGTTCAGGTGCACAGGCTGAGTGGCAGGAAAAAAAGTTACAAGGATAATGTGTGGGATTAAAGTTGGTCAGCAGGCTTCAGTATGCTTTCTACTGCAGTTAACACGACTGTGACACAGGGTCATTAGTCTAAAAAAACTGACAGCTACCACAATGAGTCGGAATCAGCATGACAGCCATCAGGGCTTCAACAGGGCCATGTACTACAGGCTGGAGTGTCAATGTGACAGGCAGGCGGTTACGTGCAATTCTTGAAACTTTAAGAAAAACATAAACTTTAATTCATTCTTCCTTTCCTACTGTTTGAAAAGCTTCCTTAAATGCAAATGAGGGGTGCAAACTCCTGGTTCCGGCCGTTGCTGCCAAGTGAGGAGTGAGCCATCGGATGGAAGACCTCCCTCTCTCTCTCTCTGCCTCTCCTCTCTCTGTGTGTAATTCTGACTTTCAAATAAATAAGTAAATAAATAAATCTTTAAAAAAAGAATGTATCTACTTTTAAAAAATGCAAATGAGAATGATGCCATTACAGGAACTCACTTGAATATAGACTAGTCTATTTTTAAATGAGGCAATGATAAACTTTAACATTTTATCCATTTATGGTACAAGTTTCTTGCAGGTTGTCTCACTAATTACATTTACAGAATTATCTGAATTTCAGGAGGTAACATGAAAGATTTGCATTAAAATTATCCTTTTGTTTGCCACAAGAAGGGCAGTGAAGGGGAGAATTATAGGTGGCAAACAGGCAGAAGATGTCTTGACTAAATAAGGTCAGAGACAATGACCTCTGTGCAAACACAGAGGTAAGGAAGTTCAGAAGTTGTTCAGGTTTGCTCATTAGATAAAATGAGAAAAAACAAAAAGGAGGGAACTGGTCATTAAACTTCTGCATTGATGGTTATTAGCTGTTTGATCTTATGTGCCTAAATTCTCAGAGCATCAGTTTCCCTCAGTTGTAAAATGGGGAAAATATTACATGAAATAAGGTCTAAAGATTAAATGAGGGACTGGCGCTGTGGCGCAGTGAGTTAAAGCCCCAACCTGCAGCGCCGGCACCCATATAGGCACCGGTTCATGTTCCAGCTGCTCCTCTTCCCATCCAGCTCTCCACTATGGCCTGGGAAAGCAGTGGAAGATGGCCCAAGTCCTTGGGCCCCTGCACCCACGTAGGAGACCTGGAAGAAGCTCCTGGCTCCTGGCTTCAGGTCAGCCCAGCTCTGGCCATTGTGGTCATTTGGGGAATGAACCAGCGGAATGGAAGACCTCTCTCTCTCTCTCTCTCTGTCTCTACCTCTCTGTAACTCGATCTTTCAAATAAATAAAATAATTCTTTAAAAAAAATAAAGATTAAATGAAGGACTGGTGATGTGGTACAGTGGATTAAGCCTCTGCTTGGGATACCCACATCCCCTTTTAGCATGTCGATTCAAGTCCTGGCTACTCTGCCTGTGGTTCAGCTCCCTGGTAAAGTGCCTGGGAAGCAGTGGACAAAGGCTCAAGTACTTGAATTCCTTTCACTCATGTGGCAGATCCAAATGGAGTTCCAGCCTCCTGGCTAAAGCCTGACCCAGCCTAGACTGCTTCAACCATTTGGGAAGCGACTGGAAGAGAGAAGGTACCTCCCTCCCCCAGTACCTTCCAAATAAATAAATAAATGGAGTAGATGAAATCAAGGGTGAAAAGTACAGGTCCTGGGACAAAATAAATGTTCACTGAGGGACCAATTGGAAGAGACACCAGATCATCTACACTGAATTTCTGAACTTACATCTGCATAGAACTTAACCCAATGGCGAAATACAGAAGGAAAGCATGTCTGTTTAAGGAAAAGACGCTGGCTTCATTGTGTTGAGTTTGAGGAGCCTACAGGATATACAAATAATTAAAAATTTTGGTTTGGAGCTCAGGAGAGTTTGGATTGAGAAGCCATTTTTGGGTTACTGGTGGATGGGGGTTTGATTTTTTTTTTATCAGGAAAGTGGCTAAAATGCACATAAGGGAGGGCACAGACAAGATCTATTCTCCATCACACTTCAACAATAAAGAGAGAAAAGAATTAGGATAAAGGAAAAGGAACTGAAGAAGGAATTAGGAGGATTCCTCTTATGTGAAATAATCAAAAAGGGGCAAATCCACAGACCTTCAAAGTAAATTATTGCTTGTCTGAGGCTGGGAGTTTGAAGCCATAGACTCCAAATGGGAACCAGGATTCTTTTGGGGGGTGATGGACATATATTAAATCGGTATTAGGATGGCAGCATGTTTCCATAAATATATTAAAAACTGTACTGTAAAGTAAGCAATTTTTATACCATCTAAATTATACCTCATTAAATTTGTTTGCTAGGAAAAGCCAAAGGGGTTATGGTGGGTGAGTAGGCTAAATTAAAAACTGCAGAGCGAGTAAGCAAGATGAAGACTGAAGAGTCAGCGTTCCATTTCTCAGTAAGAACATTTGCAGTGGAGTGAAGAGGTCCTACATGGAAGAGTCCAAAGACGGCGAGCTGTGGTGGGCCGAGAACTTGGGAGGATGAGCAGGCAGAGGAAAGGAATGTCCAATGAAAAGGGAAGAAAAATAACAAAGGGGTAGCCCTGGTGAGGGCAAGGCCATTACGACAACACCACAGACCAAGGGCAAAGCAGCCATGAAAAAGGCAAATCTGAACAATTAGAGGATAGCTGCTGGAACTAAATCCCAGAGGAGGGAAGCGTAGACAGGGAGGGGCTGGTTTGTGATGCGTGTGGGCAGGCGCACAGATTTCACTTTACTGGAGCCCGCGGAGGATGCACGGATGTATCGATGGGTTTGGTGGTAGAAGGAAGTCAAGGCAGTTAGACTCAACGGCCACATTTCCCCGGTGCTGTAGGAGTAAGGGACATTGGCTGAGATGCAGGGATGGAGACTGGGTAAGATGCTCGAGGATCACTAACAAATCCAGCTACTTAGAGACCATATGGGGCACCAGCTGAGGCAGAGACCCACGCACTGCAGCAGCGCCAGCCAGCACAGTGGTGTCATTCTCCACAGCAGAGTCTGGGGCTTGGAAAGAGAAGCTGAGTAAGCAGAGGGTTGGGCTGACTGACTACCGGGAGTTGGCAGGGTGAGCAGGAGAAAGGCAGGGGGGCGGAGTGGAAATGAGAAACCATGAGCTGCTGGGGGAAGGGGAATGCCAGCAGAAGGAGGGGACTCCCGGCCTGGGAGCACCACCGCATTTAGACAGACGGAAGGAAAGTGGATTTAGTGAAAGCAGGGAAGCTGGAGGACATGAGACTCTTTGGAGTGCACGGTGTTTACCAAGGTAAAGCCCCAGCCCCAGGGGTCAGAGTGGGCCATGGGAATGCATGCTGATGCAGGTCCCAGAAGGCACACTTGTGCGGATGTACACGTAGAAAGGAAGCACTCTGCAGCTTTTCTACCAGCTCAGGTCCTGAAGAAAACTCTCCATCCACAGGAAAACTTCGTCCATTGTAATCTCTCTTTAGAACTGTTAGAATTGAGGGTCAAGAACTAAAACGAAGTCAGACATGACCAGTGGTCAAGTGAAGATTGAAAAGAGAGTCAGTGGTTACCTGAGATGTCCAAGGGTGGTGGGTGGGCTTCCCCCAGCGTGGCACGAATTTGGAATATTTTAAACAAGATCAGACAGAGGAGATGTACAGAGGCAGGATGGTGGTGGTGGGAAGTAAGGGGGAGGGTGTTGCAGGGGTGGAGGTGAGAAACGGAGGTTAACTTCTCCCTGAGTGGTCCTTGCTGGCTCTAACGCCACTAAACCAGCACCCAAACTCCCTCAACAGGAGACTGATCTGCATTTGCAAGGGTGATTTGAGACCAGGGTTAAATGGGGTAGGTCCAGAGAACTTTTCTTTTATTCCTGCCAGCTTCAAGAAACTGTGACCTTTGAGAGATGGAATCCTCTAGTAGAAGCCCATCAAAGAAGACCTCAGAAGAAGCCCCGAGAAGCAATGTTAGCAGACACCATACAAGACAAATGATAAACTAAACCTAACGACCTGTAATTATCAAATCTGTGTATCTTAAATGAACCACATTAACTGCCTAGCTATTCAGACAGACTCATGGCTTATAAATGACTGTTTTCAGATGATCACAGTCTAGGTTTAAGATATTATAAATATTTGTAGTACATCATAAGAAGTGTTCCAGTACAATCTCTTTATTTGTGCATACATCTACCTACACACACATATTTGTATTATTCATTACTAAAGCAACTGACCCTCTGAGCCACGTATGGTACCCTAAAGAACAAATGCCTTATAACAGAGTAGGTGCACAGGGATAGAGAAAATGGAACTGACCCTGGAGCAGAACTTATGGCCCCATAGAGCACTACAGGCAGAGGCCACCTTGCTGAAGGTCAACACATGCTACTGTACCTCCTCTGATGACTTCAGAAATGTCACGTAAGTTTGCAGGACTTGAGACCTGGAGCCAATGCTTTTGCTAAGTAAGTTTAATTCTCCCTCTAGGCATTTAGCTTTAGAAGAAAGTGATGCTACTTCGTTGGGTTCAAATTCATTTTTCTCTGTCATCATTTTTACAGCTGCTTCTAATTCATGTGATGTCTCCTAAGAAAGCAAAGCACCAGAGGTCAGACACTGACAGACGAATCGTGAACATTCATATTTCATTACCCTTACTCACCTCCATCTTTCAGGATTATTAATTGAACTTGTACTAAGAATCTCCTTAATAAAACAAAGGCACAATTTAAGACTGTGAAAAGAAAGAAGTCACTTCAAAATAGAAACCACCTGAAATTATTACTGTTTTTTCCTGCTCTATCTGCTATACTTATTTAGATCATTCAATTTTCTGTGTCCCAAATAGAAGAAAAGTAGTTTGGTATGAAAGGATGTGAAACAAATAGCAGGGATATTTTAAATAATTTAAATAATGATACTTGAGACTTGCTTTATGGAATTTACCAATAGCTCTAGCAAATTCTTTTTTTTTTTTTTTTACAGGCAGAGTGGACAGTGAGAGAGAGAGACAGAGAGAAAGGTCCTCCTTTGCCATTGGTTCACCCTCCATTGGCCGCCGCGGCCGGCGGAGCCAGGTGCTTCTCTTGGTCTCCCGTGGGGTGCAGGGCCCAAGCACTTGGGCCATCCTCCACTGCACTCCCTGGCCACAGCAGAGAGCTTGCCTGGAAGAGGGGCAACCGGGACAGAATCCGGCACCCCGACCGGGACTAGAACCCGGTGTGCCGGCGCCGCTAGGTGGAGGATTAGCCTAGTGAGCCACGGCGCCAGCCGTAGCAAATTCTTAAACTAATTTTGTTTTACAAGACATGACAAACTGAAAATGCTTGTCTATTCATTTTAATTTGCAAAAACTGACATATTAATTATTCAATCTTAACTTAAGTCTCTGCCCAGCAGGCTTTAGAAACATGTATAAGGAAAAGGTTCCCTATGAGACATGGACAATTTGAAGACTCACTGAATCTGACCTGCTTAGGGCTGCTCTCCTAAGTGCAGGTTCTGTTAGTGAATGCTAACCACTGACCAGACAGATGAGTGGACACTGCAGACCTTTCATAGCTACAAGCACGTACCACATAACACCCTGTCCATCAGCAACAGCCTGCGTATGTGACTGTGGTCCTCTAAGATGATAATGGAGCTGAAAATTCTTTTTGCCTAGTGTCATCACAGGCATCTCTGTGTGTAGCACAGCACATTAGCTACTCACCTGTTGCACGATGCTGGTGGAAGCAAGCCTACTGTGCTGCTAATTGCGAACGAGTATAGCACGTACAATGCTGTGCACCCCGTCACACCTGATGACAATACACTGCTGGCTTATGCATTTGCTATACTATAGTTTGCATCATTGCTTTAGAGTAGCTCCTTCCACTTATAAAAAAAAAAAAGGTTTACTGTGAAACAGGTGACCTGTTAACACTTGGCAGGAGTCTCACACATCTTGTGTTGATGGTGTCTCTTGATCCTATCAAGAGGATACGCTGAATGATTGGCCTGCACCATCCACATTCATATAAGTACACTGTGTGGTGTTCACACACGACAGAACCACCTAAGGATGCCTTTGTCAGAGGGAGAAACCCCACTGGCAAGCAGCACATGACGAGATAATCGCCACAGAAAGAGCCACGTAAAACTTGCATGCAACTAAGCTACTCATCAAGCAAAAACTAAAGAGAAACAGCATCACTCTCATTTGAAGCCAGGAAGGGTTGCTTCTCTCCTTGTGTTTAATATGCTTCCCAAGTACTCCACTGAGAGCAGGTAATTTCAGTTTATAAGCCCTGCTGCATGACAGCACTGTGGGAAGAAGAGGAGTGGAGCCTTTCACTCCATGCCATCTCCTCCCTGCTTCTAACATTTTAAAATCGAACAAACAAAAAAATGAAATGAAGTTCAGATTTCCATTGTAAGTATTTTAAATAATGAATTTTTAAAATATCATCTTAAAATATTCGGTGTGTATGTGAGTTTTCCGGGGGCACTGTCTGCAAAGGAGGCTCTTGTTCTGAAAAACAGAATAAAAGGGCTCCTTCTGCCCGCCTGGGCAAGAGGGAAGGACCCTTGATATCTCTGGAACTCTGCTGGGCCAGCCAGGGACTTCTGTGCAGGTTAGGAGCTGCTGGCAGGCCTCTTTGAGCCTAGGTCCCATGAAAGGGGTGGAAGGGAGTGAGGGAAGGTGCTGGAGGTGGGTGGGGAGGGGCAGCACTTTCTGTCACCAAATAGCAGGCGTGCAAGCAAGGCTGTATTTTTATTTGCCTCCCCGAATCTTGCAACAATAGAAGGTGCTTCTGGTGATTTTCTCTTGTAACAACTCTTGCCAAAATCAGATTCCAAGACGCACACTCTTCCTGCCTCTGTTTGGCACCCCAAAAAGGACTTGCTAACACTCAGTAAAGGAACAGAAGCCAATGAGCAGTTAATAACCTGAATCTTTGTGAGCTTAAATTCCCCAAAAATGTACATATAATTTAGACACACATAAGCATGAGTTTGTGAATCATTATTTGTTATGTCTTCATTTGGAATTGCAACCTTCAAAGGAGCAAGGATTAAGGTCTATAGCTATGAAATGTTTTAAGAATCACATTAACAAAATCATGACCATAATAATAATTCTCATTTTATTCACCTTTATTTGGGTATTTAGTTCCAGATATTTATTCAAAATCTTTTCAGATTCAGAAAGGCTGGAACCAATATCCATTGCATTGGAAAGTACTGGACTCATTTTCTGAAGTGACATTTCTACCTGTAGGAATAAAGAGTATGTTACAGTCTTAGTATATATGTATTTGCGTATGTATATGCATATGTACAGAAAAATCACTCCATATATTCCCATTATTCTTATTATAACCTTAATTTTAACATAAAATCCTTTTAAATGTTTCAGAATTTCATATTTTAATAGCAACCCAATTTGCAGGCACATTTTGAAGCAGAAGTCCAGAGCTTGGGTATGTGGACACTCTGTGCATGGCTATAATTAGGACTGAGGGAATCTGGGGAAGCATCAAACCCTGAACATGAGATAGAAAAACACAGGGCAGTCTTGGGTATTTAATTGATTTGGAGACTATGACTTGGTCCTCCGTGTACATAAATAATGGACAAAGAGACCCATGAAGGGTTCTGTTCCATTCAAGTTACTCCCTTCAAGTTCTAGCTGGAGTTCATACTCCACAGACAGACTGGCTCTGAATTGGCAGTAAGACAAGAAGCAACAACTGTTTGAGTTCCTACTGCGCTTTCCACCACCACCAAATTCGCTGCAGTCTCAAGCTCTAGGGAATGTGACACTACCCCAGCCGCCATCCTTGGAGTCTCAAGAGACCAAGACTCAAATTTCCGATTTTCCAAATAAATAAGAGGTAGGGAAGCAATTTAGAGAGAGGCATTCTTATGTAATGCCCTCCCCTGTGATGTCTGTGATTCTACTGATGAGTTTAGGCATGCAAGTGCATTGTGTCAAATGAAAATGTCATGGAAAAGTTGAGGGGTGGGTGTTGTGGAGCAGATGGTCAAGCGGATGCTTGGGACACCCAAGTCCCATTATCAGAGTGTCTGGTTTCTTATTTTTTTTATTTTTATTTTTTTTAATTTTTTTGACAGGCAGAGTGGACAGTGAGAGAGAGAGACAGAGAGAAAGGTCTTCCTTTGCCGTTGGTTCACCCTCCAATGGCCCCCGCGGCCGGCGTGCTGCGCTGATTCGATGGCAGGAGCCAGGTACTTACCCTGGTCTCCCATGGGTGCAGGGCCCAAGTACTTGGGCCATCCTCCACTGCACTCCCTGGCCACAGCAGAGAGCTGGCCTGGAAGAGGGGCAACCGGGACAGAATCCGGCGCCCTGACCGGGACTAGAACCCGGTGTGCCGGCACCGCAAGGTGGAGGATTAGCCTAGTGAGCCCCGGCTTCGGTTAGAGTGTCTGGTTTCAATCCCAGCAACGTCTGCTTCTGATCCAGCTTCCTGCTACTGCACCTGGGAGGCAGCAGGTGATGGTCCACATATTAGGCTTCCTGCCACCCACATGTGAGACCCAGATAAAGTTTGTGGCTCCTGGCTTTGATCAGGCCTATGCCTGGCTATTGGAGACATTCAAGGGAATGAACCAGGAGATGCAAGACCTCTTTTTGCCTCTCCCTCTCTTTGTCACTCTGCCTTTCAAATAAATCAAATAAATTTTGAAAAAAAAAATAAACAGATCTCAAGGCTGGCATTGTGGTACAGTGGGTTAAATCACTTCTTGCAATGCCAGCATCCTATATGGGTGCTGGTTCAAGTCTCAGCTGCTCCACTTCTGATCCAGCTCCCTGCTAGTGTGCCTCGGAAAGCAGCAGAGGATGGTCCAAGTGCTTGGGTCCCTGCACCCATGTAGGATACCCAAATGAATTTTCTGGCTCCTGGCTTTCGCCTGGCCATTGCAGCCATCTGGGGAGTGAACCAGTGGATGGAAAATCTCTATGTCTCTCCCTCTCTCATTCTCTGTAACTCTGTCTTTAAACAAATAAAATGAATCTTTAAAAATAATAAATAAATAAACCTTTAGAAGTTTTGTCAAGACCCAGTCCTTGAAGCAAGGTTCATCAGCATCAGTGTCACCGAAATATTACTAATGTTTACCATATGTCCTGTCTACAGATAAGTAAACTTCTGTTTGGTAGTCTCTGGTTTTATTTTTTTTTTTGAAAATAGGAAATACAGGGCATCATCGTGGCATAGCAAGTTAAGCTGCCACCTGCTATGCCAGTATCCCATATGAGTGCTGGTTTGATTCCCGGAAAATTCCCTTCTGATCCAGCTCCCTGCTAATGCACCTGGGAAAGCAGAAGATGGTCCAAGTGCTTGTGTCCCTGTACCACCATGGGAGACCCAGATGAAGCTCCTGGCTCCTGGCTTCAACCTGGCCCAACCCCAGCTGTTGCGGTCATTTGGGGAATGAACCAGAGAATGAATGATTCATATTCTCATTCTCTCTCTCTCTCTCTCTGTCTCTTTCTCTCTGCCTTTCAAATAAATAAATACATCTCTAGAAAGCAAAAAGAAAATAGGAAATAAAATTGTGCCACATCAGTGCACTCCCCTTGCAGAGAGGGTCTACACATGCATGCTTTCATGCAGACTCACCACGTCCCTTGCACCAGTCTAGTTAAACAAACAGGATGGTGTCAATGTATTCTTAGAAAAACCTAAAACTTAGCAATTTGGTATCTATTTTTCCATTTTTCCATCCAGCTATGGTTCTCATGTTGTAGGGTATATGTTAACTAAGACTTGTACATATTTGGGAACGCGCTCAGAACCATCCAATCACAGGTCTTTTTCCAATTCATACTTGATCCAGTCAACCCAATGCTGTACAAAAGGAGGACTGCCTTTGTATTTATGGAATATGTTCAGGCCAGAGTGGGAAGATAGCATTGGATATCTATTTTTTTTTTTTAATTTGACAGATAGAGTTAGTGAGAGAGAGAGACAGAGACAAAGGTCTTCCTTCCGTTGGTTCACCCCCAAATGGACGCCACGACTGGAGCTATGCCAATCCGAAGCCAGGAGCCAGGCACTTCCTCTTGGTCTCCCATGTGGTGCAGGGGCCCAAGCACCTGGGCCATCCTCCACTGCCCTCCCTGGCCACAGCAGAGAGATGGACTGGAAGAGGAGCAACCAGGACTAGAACCCAGTGCCCACATGGGATGCTAGCACCGCATGCGGGGGACCAACCAAGTGAGCCAAGGCGCAAGGCCCTGGATATCTATTTTTGACAACTTGGAACAGGGATAATTGATGAGCAATGGTGAATTACAGCTCTGTCTGATTCAATCATCAGACTTGATATGGAACATAAGAGAAGCCACTCTCCACCCATACCTACTTACTGCAACTGTCATCCCATCTAGAATCAGCAAATCAGACGTTTACACTCATTTTATGAAACTACCTTCCTTAGGCAGCCCTCCACTGATGCTGCCAATTGTTGTTTCTTAAGAGCAAGCTCCTTGTGCGCAGAACATTGTTCGGTCAGATGATCCACTCGCCTCCGAATGCATCCCAGCATCTCACGGACGCCGGCCACCCGAGAGCTGGAGGGAACAAGCCAGCTATTAGCTCACCACACCCAGACATGGAAGCAGTGGCAACAGGGAACATTTGAAAGTGGATCTGCTCTTTCATGTTAGTTTGAGTTGGTAAAAGTTATCAGCTTTAGGATAATAGAAGTTAAACAGCTACCTTCCCAGTAGAACAGAGAGCAAAAACACATCATGTTTCTTTGTTCTAAGTCAGTTACTCCTGAGGGAGAAGATGAGTTATGGGTTCCTGCACCCAGGTCTAATCTTCTTTTCTACAGGTTTACTTTTTAATATTTCTCCAAGATATTTCAAGAACTTTACGGCAAAAGGCACAGTGTGTTCACCAACAGTTTTCCTGAGGGGGTTAATTAAAAGCTTCATTTATCTAAAGATGCTCTTTGAATAGAAATGTGGATCAGCCAATTAACAAAACATTTAATAATCCAATAGAGTAAAATATTTATACAACACGAAGGTCCCCGTTCTTGGTGATTATAAATGCTCAAGGCTGTATTCATTACATGAAAACTAAGTTATTACCAATAATTAAGAATTAAATAAACTTCACAAAAAAGAAATCAAGCTTCACATGATCATTTTTATTTGTGTTGGTCTCATGAGAAAAAGAAAAGTGACATGAACACTCATAAAATGAAAATGATTTCAAAACAATGAATGAACACTGAGTTGGACCCCAGTTGCCCTGGTTGAAAGAGAGCTTAGCAAGTTTCCTAACCTGTTCCAAGTTAGGCACACATGCTAGAATGCAAAACAATGAGAAGACATTGTTGATGCACTAAGCACCTTGAAACCTTTCAACTTAACCTTAGGATAGAATATATCCTACATATTTAAGTAGTCAAAGTCTTTAATTTCCCATCAGTCATTTCTTTCCAACACTAATAAAGATGAACAATGATAACTCTTACATTTAATTACCTAGAGTTAAAAAAAGATCTTGTAACATGGTACATATTTCAGTAATTTTACCTCAAATAATTAATTTAAGACTTTGTGAAAATGAATTTAATTAGTAATGAAGTGAGGGCAAGATCCTGAACATCTGAGAGTTACAGGAAGCTCTGTGGAGTGACAAGGAGACCACTAAGGAGATGAGACACATTCAGGAGTGTCCCGTGGGGACCACGCGAGTCCTGGACAAGTGTAATTTTGAGAAAATATGTAACCTCCATGAGAAATCTTACTCTTGGTACACAGTGCTCCACAGATATTGCCTAAAAACACTTAGGTTTACACATTAACACTCAGAAACCAGGAAAAGTATAATCACAACAAGAGATTTTAATAATTCTTAATGATACTTAAATCCATGAACTCTGTAAAAGCTGTGTGCTGCCAATACTAATGTTTTGACTAGGTTTTAGAGTTTGATATACCACATGCTAAAAAGGCACATAAAACCCCAGATGCTGTGTATTCTATATGTTCCAAGGTTTCTGAAGACTCTGGAAGGAGAAAGATCAAGTGAATACATGGTACTATGGAAAGAAGAACCAGAGAACAGAGCTTGTGAACAGAAATGCGCAAACGTAGCTGCAAATGGCAGCCACATCACTGCTAAAACAAAAGGAAATGCAAAATGACTGAAAAAACTCGGAAAGATAAAATGGAATTTGATAAAGAACTTCATCACCCAACAGGAAAGATGCTTACTGCCATGTCTGAGTTGCTTTACGTGGTCCTGTCTGGAATTCCCTCTGCATCTGCTGCAGCAGGGGACTATTTGACTAACCAGACCTAGAAGAGGGAGCTCCTTGGCCCCAAAACAGTGCTGCTGAGAGAGGAGCACGCATTTTGAATAGGCTGCTCACTGGGGAAAAACAGTCCTCAGTCATCAGGCCCAGCCAGGCTTCTCGGTTTCCATTCGCGTCACTCATATCACTGTTTTTATTCTTTGGCCTTCTGCAAAGATCATGGCTGCCAGCCAGCTCTGAGGGCTAATCTGTAAGTACCAGCCATGATGTCTCAGATGGCAGAGTCCATAACCAATCTCTGACTCTGCCCCAATAATGCTCTAGTATTCCCAGGCCCTCCCAATGAGAGCAGTTGAATCCCTGTTTTGTCTTTATTATGATGCTGTAACTCAACACTCACTGAGTCCAGCCTCCACTCACAGTAAACATCTCTCTTGCTGAGTACATTGCATGAACTACTTTATACAATCCTTGAAATACCTTTGGGACATCAAAAAGGAATCAATAACTGCAGTTTTTAGCCAGTGAAACTGAGGCTGCAGAGGTGAGCTTACTTGTCCTAGAGACACACAACAGTGATAGGCAAAGATCTCATTTAAAGTCTTTGATAAGCAAAGATGTATACTTACTATATCTAATCATTCTTATTGAATTAATGATTCATTTAAATCCTGATTTAAGAAAATTTAAGAAAATACAGACAACATTGGCTTCATTTTTACTGTAAGATCCCATAACTATAACTAATAATATAATTATGGAGTTTCTTACTATGACAAGGCACCATCCTCACTGTTTGGAGCAGTCTCTTCCAATCACAATCACCTATGAGTTGGGTCTAGCTGCTCTCCCCATTTTGCAGAGGAGCAGATGGAGGAACAGAGATGCCTGATAACTTGCCCGTCTATGAAATGGCAGAGCCAACATCTGAACCTGTTCCTCTGATCTGAGTTCACGCTCTTCACCGCCTTTTCTGGGTCTGTATACAGGGGCATTTTCCTTTAATGAGTTGAGCTTTGTGGCTATCACAGAAACAGGGTTGGTCTGGCTGACATGCTCTTCTGAAATCAGCTGAGTTCTCCAGGTAATGCAATTTCTGTAATTTGCAAAGTACCCACTAGATGGGCATGGTGTCTTGTTCAAATTATTTGTCTTGAGGTTTCTTCCAACACAGAAAGCAAAAACAGGAAAACAAAACAAAACCAAATAACATATTCCTTCTGCTTTTTAGCAACCTGTAATTTCTTAAAGATTTATTTATATATTTGGAAGGCAGAGGAACAAAGGCAGAGGTCGAGAGAGACAGAGAGAAGTCTTCCATCCACTGGTTCACTCCTCACATGGCTGTAACAGCAGAACCAGGCTAATGCAAAGGCAGGAGCCTGGAGCTTCTTCTGGTCTCCCATGTGGGTGTAGGGGCTCAAGGACCTGGGCCATTCTCTACTGCTTTCCCAGACCATAGCAGAGAGCTGGATCAAAAGTTGGGCAGCTGGACTCCAACTGGCACCCATATGAGATGCCAGCACTGTAGGCAGCAGCTTTATTGGCTACACCAAAGCACTGGCCCCAGCAACCTATATTTTTATTCTAGATGGATCACTATCAAATAAGACTGATCTCTCTCTCTCTCTCCCCCTTCTTTCTCTCTCTTTCTCTCCCTCGATCCCTTCCTCCCTCCCTCCCTCCCTCCCTCTCTCCTCCCTATCTCTAACTTTCTTTTTGCTTTTCAATGACTTAAGATGCTCTATTTCATTTTGTGATGATTTGTGCCTTATAATGCAAATCTTTTACATTGTAAATTTTTTAAAGGAAAATGATGGATGATGTCCATTCATTCTTACATAGTGTCCCTTGCAGCCTTGACTACATAGGCTTGTAAGTAGGAAGGGACCAATGAACATTTTCAAAGCCAATCAAAATACTCTCTAATCAATATTTAAAGGAAGAGAATGCACAGATTTCAGGATTGAGAAAAACATACACACACTCACCTTATTAAAAATGTCACTAGTGGGGCCTGTTTTGTGGTACACTGAATGCCAGCATTCCATATAGAATGGGAGCACAGGCTTGAGTCCTGGCTACTTGCTTCCTATCCAGATCACTTCTAATGTGCCTGGGAGGGCACCAGAGCATGGTCCAAGTGCTGTACCCATGTGGGAGACCCAGATGGGTTCCAGGCTCCTGGCTGTGGGCTGGACCACCTCTGACCATTGTGGCCATTTAGGAAGTGATCCAGCAAGATGGAAGATCTCTATCACTCTACCTTTCAAATACATAAATTTAAAAAATGTCACTGGTAATGATGTCTAATAGTTTTTTATGAAGACTTTGTGCTTTTGGCCACTTATACAATTTGTAGGCTTCTCAGAGACTTCTTCATTTCTTCTTTGGCATGCTTTAGCATCTGTAGTTAGATTCAGCCAAGTTCATCATGTTTAGTTTGATTCAAGTGCTACTTCCCTCCTCTATTTAAGGCCTCAGAGGGACAAACTGAAATTGCCTGGGTCTGCTATGCATCACAGTGTGTATTCAACTCTTGTCACTTAGACCCCTACTTTGTATGAGAAGTTCTCCATCATCCTGTTTACTCTACCAGTTCCTATCTCACTCTCTGGATGTCCCCAGCTAGGCCCCCTCTCTCTGGGCAGGAACTGCTTCCCTTCCCCTATTCCCAATTGCAATACGGCTTCCACTCTCCCAGCCCCAGGGCTATACTTGCGCTTGTTCTATTCCTCTTTGTAAAACTCAAATCTATAGGTTATAGCCAGCTCGGATTGCCTCATTTTCACATTAAACACCTAAATGCTGATTTCAGACTTTTCTTTTGAACATTCTAAAATACTTTAAACCAAGGATCGTTTGCATATTGGCAATTTCCTTAGTGCCTGAACTGCAAGTGATTTGATCAAAGGAAAGATAGGACCCCATCTTTGCCAGCAATTCTTAGAGGAACTGAAAATAAATTAATAGCGCTCCATCAGTCCTCCAGGAATGTATACTGTTCTTCAAAGCTATATTAAGTTAGTGATGGTGGCTAACAGAAACTTGGTCAATTCCAAATCATTTTGTTCTGATTCTAAGCAACACAGCCAGTGTGTTGATTGGGTGATTGGCTGATTGGGTGGAGAGGAGCTCACAATGGCTAGACCTCTGATTCCAGCCATCTGTGGCTCTACTTGCATGATTCCCAGTGAAAATGTTGACGGACCTTTGGGCCTTCTCTGCGAGAATGGATTAGATAGTACTGTCTGTAGGGCGAGCAGGAGGTAATCAGATTTTTCCTGATGTTGACAT